ACTTCAAAGTCAAAAATTTGTTAAATTTTGACTTTGGCCAAGCGAAGGGGTCAAAGCATCTTTGCGTATACGTTTCCCAAAGTGCTCAGTCATTATTAAGCGGGTTGAATTTAGGAGGAAAAAGTGAGTGCTTTCCCCAGGGACAAAGAAAACTGTCCATAAAAACGAAGTGTCCTCTTAAAAAGCTCCGGATTTGACTGTAGTTCGAAAAGGACGAATGGCGAACGATACTTTGAGACTTGGACAATATTAAAGGTCTTAATGAAAATAAACCTCCCCATCTTAAATATAGTATTTATTGCAAAAACTTGAAAAAACTTGGTAAGTCTTATACTAACCAGAAGTAACGAGAATCTTATGTCCCATTTCCGGGAAAGGCTCTCCGCCCTTGATTCTGAATCTCTGTCAGGATGACTCGTATATCAGGGGAGCACACATCCGAAATGTGTCATTCTAACACGGGTTCTCCCATAAGAAAATGTTCAGTATAAGTAAACAATAACATAAACACAGCTAAATAAAGTGGTTTTCGTTTGAGTGTCGTAAAACCAAAACCAAAGTAATTACTCTGGCCAATCACATAGGGACACAGACAATACATTGAACCAATCAAAACTCGAAGTAATTACATGTGGCTGACGCAAAGCGCGGGAAAATGCATGCGAGCGCGTCACAATTGGCTTTGGTTTCACTTCTGATTGGATGAAAAGGTGGCGCGAATCTTTTAAGCCAATCGCATCGTGTAGAAAGTGCAAACAGATTTGTATTTAGGCTTTGTACGTATCCTTCTCATTTTGCAAACTGCAGTTGTCAAAAGACGACGGTTTCAATGACTTGCCGCGGTTTGTAGGTGGTTATTATTCAAAATTAAATCAATCATATTAACAACCACCATAAAAATCAAGGTAACTAGGATACGATCGATAATATATATAATTATAAAAGCAATCTAAAAGTTAGTTTAGAGTTAAAATAATGCAGTGACTATTTGGAACAGAGAACTTTAAGGAATAAGTAAAATTGTATATAAACGTAAACTGATATACAAACTTACGTAAAAAAAGCTATATAATTTGTTTTCTCTGAACGTACCGAAGATCATAAAATATGAAACAGGTGTTTCGTTTGTTTTTCATCTTTCAATCCAAGTACGTCACCCTTTATAAATTTTAAAAGGATTTGAGCCGTTTAACTTAAAACCGTCCCGACATAATCGCTATTAACGCAAAATGTTTAACCTTCGCCTAGTCTTGATGTTTTTTCTGGTTCGAAATCCGTTCGTAACACACCAAAGCGAGCGTTTAATACTTGCGGGTAGTGGCATAAGACGACAAGGGGTGTCTTACGCATATTTTGCAGTTCATAAATTTCAGTATCTTCAAGGATCTCCGTTAGTATCTTCCTGTGAAGTGGACAAAGCTCGAGATTGTGCTTTGGCCTGTGTGAATAACCCACCGTGCTCTTCATTCAATCTCGGTTTGTTATTGACTGCAAAAGGAAAGCTGCAATGCGAACTCTTACCTGAAGACAAGTACAGAAATGCGGGCAAAATATTCCATTCTCAGCAATTTCATCATTACAGCATAAAGGTAAATATAAATCCGATAGTTTCATATACACATGCATTTTCTAAATACAGAGTCTTTTAGATTTCGATAAAAGATCTTGTAGTCCGGCAGAAAAGATGACTTTTTGCTATGAATCTTGCAAGGTATTATACAGTAAACACCCGCATATAATAACCTATAATTTTCGAGATCAGGCTGGTCAGGTATTTCAGGATACTTTAATTTTGACAAATCAGGCTGATTAGGTTCTTAATTTTCTAGTGTTTGTCGTAGCATTGTCATTCACAAAAATATCATACTACTAGTACATAATGGCTTAGAACTAAATGAAAAACACGTACTTGCCAAGCTAAATATATACACAATAACATATTACTAGAGATTTAATCAAATGCAGTTAACATCGAGAATTTTGATAATCGAAATCGGGGTGATCTTTTGTGTAAGAACCTCTTTTCCTCGCCAGGTTGAACAAGTTCTTATAAACTTGTTAAATGTCAAATTTCAGCCTGTAGGTTCTAAAATCTATCGGTTCTTATATGCGGGTGTTTACTGTATAGTATTTTTCAATACTCTAACAGCTTGCATGGGACTCCTTGTTTACTGATCCATCAACTGACGCTCTTGCCGTAGTGGGGAAATTTAACTCTTCACACCTATATTAAAGTGCGACTCGCGCCACCATTTTAACAATTGTGACAAAGGAAGACCGTCAACATAATTTATTCAAAGTTATTGAAAACCGCACAAACGTATGCGGCTAATTTGTTTTAACCGGCAAAAATCAATTTATTCAAGCATTTTAAGGACAAAGGCGTGCTGCACAATCAGTCACCCTGGTATGTCATAATTCCCAACTGTTTGACTAAACAGACCAGACAAAAATATAAATTTTCCCTTAAAAATGCAGCTAAAAAATAAAATTGTAATCAAAGATTTCGCCGATCATCGCTGGTCGTTTCCGCAGGTTTTGCTGGTGTAACAAATATGATGATCAGGAAAAAGAATCCCATGTTTATGAGGGATGATTCTAGCGCCACTCAGTGCCAATACAAACTCATGACTACCTCATGGAAGAACTAGAAGAAAGGCAGCTGAGAGTAAGACCTGCAAACTCGGCACATATAGAAAAAGGAGGCGCATCGCAGCTGACAAGAAAGACAGCCTACCTATTAAAAGAAAGCTGAAGACAAGCATTGATCCTTTTAATCCCGATGCAAAAAGGTGACATTGATGTACTGGGAAGTCATTGTTATAAGTTAGTTATTACTGGCCAAGATGAAGCCGTGCCTGTAGAGAATTCCCCAGGATTGAAGATAATTAAAGAGCCGACCTCAAGATCGGGCCTCAAGACAAACCACGAAGCAGACACAATCGTCACAGCACAAGAAATATAATTAGCACTGGAAGAGAAGAACAAAGCAAATGACACAGACATGTCTATGTTCTGCTGCAGCTGTACCATTACCTTGAAAGAGGGCTAAACATCCCCATGGTGATGCAGTCAACTAAGAAAGGCAGAGCCGAAAGATGTAGACATAACTGTTACGGTAAAAAGCTTTGCCAGTCCAATACCCCACATGTAACGAGCCCATGCACTTCCAAGGTGTAACACTGGCCATCTCCAACTGTATCGCCCATCGGGTAAAAGGTTAAAAATTCTTCAGTGAGGGAAATTCAGCTGAAGTCTCCTTGGCAATAAAACTGCTGACTTTTACGATGTATTTCTCCAGTCCACAGTTTTTGCTTTGGCATGCTACAAAGTGCATGACTCAGTAACTGATATAACTACATGACATTTGGAAAGTTTGGAAAACAAAGAAAGGAAGCAAAAAAGCAGCTAAAACTATACCCAAACTGTGCACTTAGTCTGCAACAAATGAACCTTACAAAACGAAACTCAAAAAAGCACACTACCGTACGGGATTTTAGGCAGCATTTGGAAGTATCGAATGCAGATGTCAGCTTGCGTACTTGCACCGTTCGTGCCGCAGGCATGCGACCTTAGTTTTACATGTTGATTGTTTGTAGCCTGCGTTTCAAGTGTTTCCACCCAAGTTTGTCGTGAAAGTTGGGACGAGAGCAACTCTCAATTTTCGACAAACTTGTGCGGAAACGCTTGCTACGCAGGCTACAAACAATCGTATGTCCGGCATGAAACAAAACCCCTGAGTCTACCAGTGCTGCATCTGAAGGCGCACCTTACAGCCAGACTATGAACCCACGGATTATGGCTGGACCGAAGAAAGGATGAGGTATCTGAGTCTCTACAGCCCGTCACTCTCCCTGCTCCGCCAGCAGCAGTTTCACATCCGCAACTCATCAGACGTTTTAGTTCTTTGGAGAGTTCATGCCAAGTCCAAGGGCAGAGGGGGCAAGAGAGGCAGGTGGTATACAAGTACGATGGTTTGCATGTCTGTAAAGGTGGTGCTGCACGAGGCAACGAACATTAACGAGCAAGTCAATTTGGAGAACGCTGTGCGACTGCACTGGCTTTGGTTCTAACAGTGGCACACTGAAGTTATTTTGCCCTCAGAGTGAAAAAGAAACCAGCGTTGCCTAAAGCGGCGTGTAAGATGTTGAAGAAAGGGGGGTATTCCTTTTCTTTTTAAATTTTTACTATTAGTAACCTAAACAAAATGGACCACTTTTTTTATTTTTGCTTTTATTAATTTTGAAGCAAAACAAGCGGGAAAATCAGTCCTGTTGATGAATCATGAAAATTTTTATTGTATTTATATCCTATAACAATTTCGTAAGGATAAATATATTTGGAAGTGAAGGATCTTTTTTAACACCTACTGGCATCTCAGTGACGAATAAGCTTCATCCTAGTCAAATTCACCACATTTAATATGCGGTTTCAGATCAATTAAAAAAATCAAATTCCCCAAGACTGCACGACTGACAATTGTTAAAAATGTCAGTAAAAGATACTATGCTTTAAAGTGAACCCATCTTCCTCGTCCTAGTCTGCCGGACTATTGGTTTTGGTGAATAATGTTTAACTGTCTGTTGTTGACTCGGAGACTTTTCATGCTTAAACTTGAATATCCCAGGTCTAATGACCATCATTACCCTGCAAATGAAAACATCGAGAACAAGTGCAAATCAAACCTGATATGCTCTTTTTAGGAGCTTTTTTATTTTTAAAGAAAACAATGAGCTAAAAGTTGAAGACTAGAAAGAAATGACATTATAATGAGAGAAAAAAGTGTGGATGAAATATAATGCCTACATTTACAGAAAAAGGAAAGTTATTTGAATTGTAATTCCTTAAGTAACTTTGTCGCCGAGTCCTTGCCAGTGAGGATGTTTGTAGTACGTACTTCCTGGATGTTAAATGGATATCACATGCAAAGTAACGTTCAATGAACATGGTTTTTTTTAGACTCCATGTTCAAGTAACCCATGCAAGAACTCAGGAAGTTGTTTTCCAAATTATGAAGAGCATAATTACGGTTGTATCTGCGCCCCAGGCTATACAGACTCTTATTGCACGACAGGTTAGTAAAACAGCACACCATTCTATTTTAGTTTAACCCAATTGACTCGTCATCCCATGAAAAAAGTTACATTTTTAAAAAGCAGCTGATATCGGAATGCAGTATATACGAAAAATAAAAAAAATCGGTAAATGAAATATCTTATTTGATCAATAATGAAAACAATCCACTGCCCTTCTTTACTGCACATTTAAAAATCGGTAAATTTAAGTAAAGAGATCTTTAGAAAATCAACATTCTTCATAAATTTCTGTAAAGCAAGCTTACGTTATAATAACCATGCGAGATGAACAGCTTTATACTGTTAATATTTTCAAGGTAATACTTACTATTCAAAAGTGAAAAAGAATAAACGCCCTTTTTTTGCCTAGTTCGAACCGTCGAATGTTTTGGACGTCGTTGAATGGCTCAGTTATCTTACTTGACCGAAATTCTAAATTTCAAGCTGCATTAGAGATGCAATTAACCTTAGAATTTGAGAATGAGGGTTTTATTTCCATAAATTAACGGCACTGTGCTTCTTTTAATGCCTTTCAGATATCAATGAATGCTTAAGTCAACCCTGTTTGAATGGTGCGACATGCATCGATCAGGTTAATAACTATAGTTGCTCCTGTCAGGCGGGATACCAAGGAAGGAACTGCCAAACAGGTTAGCTTTTTTAAAATGGCTTTAAGTCGAAGGACATAGAACAAAATGCCGGGAACCATACTGGATACTCCTTCTGTTCACGCACAAGAACAGTGATTTCGGTGCGATTTCAGTAACGGAGCGACCTCTGATTGGAGCGTCACATATGGGATAGGTTATGTGCCACACGCAGAACAAGTATTAGGGACGTAGTTGAAAATAATAAGTAGGACCGAGGACTGGAACCTACTGACACAAAAGCAAATATTTAGGAGTGAAGACTGGGAGCAAATGCACCAAGCCCTCTCGGCCAACCGCTCCGGCGGAATGTTCTATAAGTTTAAACGACTTGCCCCAGCCCCGGGTCGTTGCTGTTCATGCTTTACTGGATAGCTTTTCATGTTAACACGTAAAACTATCCGGTACAACGTAAACAAAGCTTAGCATGACCATATCACTAGATTTTTTTTAAAGCATGTACCAGAACTATAGTTTAGTATTTCCACTCCATTTCAAGTTATCACTAGTTCACGTGACGTGGTCTGCAATAACAGACGCCGCTGTGTGCATGACAGCTACTCGTAAATAATCATGGCTTTAAAATGTCCAGTTTCCCTGTCATACAATCTACGTTTTGTTCCACACCTATATATGAGTATGAATATGTAGAAATCTGGACAGTACTAACAACTAGATATAGATTTGACCTTTTTGATTGGCAACTTCCCTACGTTTCAACCAATCGGCCATAGCCCACGTTCATTTCCTTTCCAAAGTTTTCCCTTTTAAATGAAAACAATGGAAAACTAAAGAAAGTGAGATTTAGTATACAGCTAACCTCTACTAAAAAATTGCGCTTCACCTTAAACTCTGTACACCGGTTAGAGAGCGTACAACGGTAGCTATTCTTAGCTTAATCGAGGCTCTATTTCTTCACTTTTCTTCCTTCTAAATGAGTTTCTCTTATTTTCATGGTCTCTTACTGTATATACATTTGTAGTAAAGAAGTAATTAGAAATACATGAGTGTGTAAAGCGCATTATGATGTCTAAGGAGATTCAGGCGGATGAGCTTTGTTGCTTACCCTACGTACATCCCCCTTCCCCTTCCCTTCCCAAGTCCAAAATAGCTCACAGTCTGAACGGGATTGACCTATTTTCTTACTTAATGGTTAGAGTATTTCGGACATTGTAACTTGCATGAGTTTGCAAAATGAAGTCACGTCTATTAGAAAGTTTGGGTTGATAAAACATTGCCTCTTTCGAACCGTTCAGTGTTTATAACGTTGTGAATGGTTCCGTTGCCACAGTGAACCAAATGCAAGAATTTATAAAGTTCTTAATGTCATTTCTTATCAACAAAATGGTATGAGTAAACTTCAGAAACTTTCGTTCCAAATTTTAAGCCACATCTCAGATGCAATCCGGCTGGATTTGGCAGTCGGAGTTTTTCATTATTCTCTAACGTGTTTCGATGCCTTTTAGATATCGATGAGTGTTTAAGTCAACCCTGTTTGAATGGTGCGACATGTACCGATCTGGTCAATAACTATAACTGCTTCTGTCAGACGGGTTACAGAGGAAGAAACTGCCACGCAGGTTTGTTAACAGGCTGTTAGTCGAAGCACATTGAAAAATTTAATTTCACGGTGCCGGGAAATACAGTCAAACCGCATTGGTGAATACGGACACCGAGGGAGTTATAGAAAGTGGCCGTATTAACGGGGTGTCCGTTAGTCTCCATGTAAGGGATTTCTTTCCCCAGGGGCAAAGCAAACCGTAATACCGAGGTGTCCGTGTTAAGTGGGTGCCCGTAAAGTGGGCTTTGACTGTATAACGAAACTGATCAAATTTATAACCAACACCCTGACAATACAAGATATTATTTTGAAAGCTGCAATACGTTACGACTACTGTGTCTTTCACAGCTAATATGACCAGACTTTCGGTGTCACATGGTGTCAAAGAGTTCAAAATATCGTTGGCACTATGAGTTATCACACTGAATGCGCTCCGTGTCGATCAAGGTTAATAGTAAATGCACGAAACTTACTTTTTTCCTGTCTAGCTTGCTTGGCTCCCTTAGGAATGGAAAACGGTGAAATAACATCAGTGCAGCTGACCGCCTCATCTCAGTGGGATGGTAACCATTCCCCTGACCGCGCAAGGCTGAATATTCCAGCCATCGGCACTTACAGAGGTGCGTGGGCAGTAGCACCTGATCAGGTGAACCAAAATCAGTGGATACTGGTTGACCTGCGAATCAAGACACGCATTACGTACGTAGCTACTCAAGGGAGGGCGGACGATGTGCAGTGGATAAAGAAATATAAATTGCAATTTGGCGACGATGGAAGTTCATTCGAGGGTTTTAAGCAGGAGGGTGAGAACGTCGACAAGGTAGGATAAAGTTGTGACAAGAGAGGACAAAGGGTTAGAAAACTGATACCCAATTATGTTTTATGGCTGGCTCCTCTCAAGGCTTTTGGCGATAAAGATCATGCAAGAAATTTACATTGAAATGACTTTTTGAGCATTGAGTTTTTTCAGAAGTTTAAATCTTTGCCGGGTAGTGATATCACAAATTTGCCGCCAATGCTTAGTCTTATTTTGGTAAGACATCCAATTACGAAAATCTTCATCCCTTCTTCTTTCCGATTTTTCTGAAAAGACTGAAAGAGACTCTGTATGCAATGTACAAGCCAAATTATTAGAAGTTTTTACCTGTGAACCAGCGGCAACCTTAGCTCTGTCTTGTTCTTCAGGTGTTTCTTGGAAACTCTGACAGCGGGACAGTTGTGACACATGTTCTTATTCCACCAATCAAAGCACGATACGTCAGGCTTTTACCAGTAGAATGGCACAATTACATATCCTTAAGGACGGAGCTGTATGGTTGTTTAGGTACAGTACTCTTTCATGATCAAGTCTTGAGGATAAGCGCAAGCATGACCTAGGAGGCATGTGAAAACCAAAAGGCAAAAGTAGAAAAGAGCAGCGTCATGATTCTTGATCCATGTTTTCCTGTACACCGGACTCGGAAAGAGCTCTTTATCTTGTATGTTTTGCTTTCCCAATAGAGGTCCCAGCTTTGTCTCTTCATGGATTATGCGGTCATATGCAAGTGAATAAGGCATTTGAAGAAATTTGAAGAAACAGTTCTCTAGAGTAATTGTCACATGACCTGTATCTAGGAAAACAAAAAACATACAGGTTCTTATATTTTGGGGTATTAAGGTACCAAATGTCTGTCAGGTTCTTAAACCAGACATTCTTATTAGCGGGTGTTTACTGTATAAAAAACGTATCAGTGTAGGTAAGGATTTATGGGTTTAAGGGTACACATACACTCTTTCATAATTGGGTCATCAATGTTGATTATTTTTCATTTTTTTTATCTTAAGAAGAGATACAAGCCCTTGGAATGGAGAGCGGCGCTATAGCTGACTCACAACTAACTGCGTCTTCAGAATATAATGCTTACCATTCAACGAAACGATCGAGATTACATACAAAGGAAATATCAGCGCTGGCGAGAGGTGCATGGGTGAGTTTGACGAACGATGCAAACCAATGGCTTCAGATAGATGTTGGTAAAGTCCTAAATGTAACGCACATAGCAACACAGGGAAGAAATACCTACTCCCCTTTTCAATATGTAACAAAGTACAAGGTGCAGTATAGCAACGATGGACAGACGTTCCAGTTTTACAAGAGAGAGGGACAGCCTTCAGATGAGGTAAGAAACTTCTATTCTTTTTTTTTTTCCCCGAGGTTAAAGTTGTGGTTGAAGCAGTTTTACAGCCTGTAGAGGAAGGGCGGGGAATGTTCGCTTATACAACCTCAGTGGCATAGGTGGCGCCAGAAGCGTAAGGGGCTTTATAAGGTATGCTGTACACCCCACAGGAAGTTTCCAGGGAACCCTTCCATAGGTTTTCCAGCTAATATCCAACACTGAACTTGAACCCTTGAACTCGAGTCAAAACTGATTTCCCCTGAAATTGTCCTATTCTTTCGCTGTTATTTTACCCTCAACAGCTGGAAATTTCCACTAACTCGAATTATAATTCCCTTCAGATCATTTTGATTCTTAAACCTCCAATCTTTGCGAAGTGTACTGAGTGCAGCTGTGAGTGAATCATCGAAGCGCCGAAAAATAAGTACAGTCGTATCTCCACTAACGGCCACCTCTCCACTACGGCCACTTCTTTTTTGTTCCGGCGGACAGTCCACACCATTGACTCTTGTTTAAACCTCTCTACAACGGCAACCGCCACTAAAGCGTGTCCCCAACTGCCAAAATAACCTCTCGACAACGGCCAGTTTTTTCTGTTGACTGATAAAAACGTGAAGAATAGTCATGAAATTTGATCCGTATGGCACGTTGATGATAAATCACGCCAATTGCATTTTGATTGTGTTCCATTTATACTCATGTATACTGCTACAATAAGGATAAATTGTCTACAATACCTATAGCGAATGTTGCCAACCTTGCTCGTTTTGTCACATTAACATTTTGATTCAAAATATTTTTCAAGTTTTTTCGTGTATTTTATCTCTATACATTATATATGATTGATTACCATTATGGAATACAGTAAGCATAAACTGGGCACATGTTGTATCCCCCTAAAAAAAATTGTCATATAACACCCCCAACCTCCCCATAACGGCCACCTCTCCACAAAGGCCACTTTCTTCTGTCCCCAAGGTGGCCGTTGTAGAGAGCTTCGACTGCATTATTGTAAACAACGGTACGTCATTTGTAAATACCCCCTAATATGAATGCGACTTTCATGTAGACCACCACCCCGAGGACTACACTCCTCTTCTCTTTTCAAGAATAAGAGTACTTCGTTTGCAGATGTCATTACAAAAGCAACACTTCCTCCTCAGATATAAAAACAAGGCCTTAAGTGTTGGTCTGGCCAGGGGTTGAACCTGCGGCCTCCCGCTCGGCAGACGGGCGCTCATTTAATAGAGCTAGCCTATCTCCTGGTCCCCATAAACCGACCAACGATAGATCGAAGTTTTCGAGATTTTCTATTAAGGTCAGTCATAAGGAGTCGACTCTAATTTAATTTTGACGCTTGCGCTATTCTTTAGGTTTTTACTGCAAACTTTGACCGCGACACCATCGTTTATCAGCATCTCAACCCAGTGATCACAGCACGATACTTGCGAATAAGGCCAACGGAATGGATGAATTTTATCTCAATGAGGATAGAGCTCTATTCATATCAAGGTACGGATATGACTGACTAATACCATGTATCATTCGGCCTTTAAAACCAAATTTCTCCAATCTCATTCTCATCACAGCTCTTGTTTGCAAGAGATACACCTGGACATAACATCACTGACGTGTTTTCCTTTTCCAAACATTAGCATCTCATGAAACCATTGCGTTTGGGCAGCATGGGGTAACTAAAAATATTCTTCTCAATGTTCATTTGATCAATTGCAGAAGAATGAGAAGATATGTCACTGAACTGAACTTCACAAATGCATCTTATCTGCTGACAATGGAGACAGCTCCAGCATTGAGGAGGACACAATAGAACCCCCTGTAATCGCACAAGTGTCTTCCGAGGGTGAAGATGCAGTGTGTGCACGTGGATGAAACCGGCTTATGGGAAGTGTCTGCTGGCAGAAGGTGTCCGTAAGCGGGGGAGCGACTTTAGTCTGATACATTAGATTTGTAAAGAACAGTTGGCCAAACTGTTCATGAAAGCACTTGCCACTTCGCACTTAGTTTTCTCCTCTCAGCAACGACGTAACCGGTATAGGTAATAGCATGATTTGTAGTGATGTTTGGCATAAATACCAGGAGTGATATTTCAAAATTGTTACACGAAATTTCACGAGCCGTTATCACAAGTGGTATTTATGCCAAATATAACGTACAAATCATGTTATTATTTGTTTATACTACTACCCACAAAAGGTTTGTAATTTTCACATGTACGTATTTCAAATTAAGCTGAAATACCACTGCTCTAAGCCAATCAAATTGCAGAAATTTCTCATGTAGTAGTATAAGTATGTGTAATCAAATGGTGACGAGTGAAATTGTTAAGATTTGGACAAAACGCAAGTGAAATTATTTCCTAATTTCACGAGTATACCATTTGATTACCTATTATATCATGGGTGACGAATTACGTTAGCAATCTTGGATTTTTGACGTGTTTATCCTGGATCGTATCGATCGAGAACTCCTGCACTCTCTCGAACGTTTAGAGCTCAAATTTGGCTTAAGTTCAGAGTTTTTCGACAGAATACCTGTTAGAATCCTTCTTGATGTGCTCTTTCGTGTATTCAGGTTTTCTAAAGCGTCTTTTTGTGCCCTGACATCTTCATTCATGGCATTTTAAAACTTCGTCGCCATCTTGACACTGAGACGTACGGAGGTTGCCATTACAAATTAACGCTGAAATTTCGCGCCAAAATTAAGGAGTAATTCGTCACCTATGATATTAGTATAGGTAATAGCATGATTTGTAGTGATATTTAAGTGATATTTATGCCAAATATCACATAAAATCATGTTATTATTTGTTTATACTACTACCCACAAAAGGTTTGTAATTTTCACATGTAGGTATTTCAAATTAAGCTAAAATACCACTGCTCTAAGCCAATCAAATTGCAGTAATTTCTCATGAAGTAGTATAAAGGGAGTAATAACGACTGGAAGTAATGGGATGAAATTCAGGCTACACTTATCCATGAAGAAGGCACTCAGCATATCTATCCCTTTCTTGTACGTTTGGGACTGAAATTCATAAGTTACATGTCTATATCAGACCCTGGAAGAAATGTAAACACGCCGAGGTTTTTCTTCAGAGGAGAATGAGGCAGAAATAGGGTAGGGTACTGAAAATAGAGAAAGTTTGCTATTCAACATGCTTCGCTTAAGTTGTTTTCATAACTTGGTTAGAGAGTGATATGCAAATGCTTACAAGGCAAAATTTACAAAGCGCGATTCGCTTTTGAAGGCATTTTTACTCTTTTAAACAACGATTACTCATTTGCTTTTACGATACCTTAATGCTTCATTTGTATGTTTCGTGGTCACTCTTACGCTATTAACGTAAGTCCGGATATCCTAACTTGATGTTACGGCCAGTCAAAAACACAATCTTACTATTCAAATTTTTTGGAAGCTGATTCGTTTAGAGTGTTTAAAACGCGACATTGAAATCATTTAAACTCGCTCTTAGCTTTGCTTTGCACTGTAAATATCAGTTTGAAGTTCAGCAAAGAGCTGAAAGAGGACAGAAAGACCGTTGGCTTATTTTGTTGGGTTGTCACTAGGATGATTAGTAACACATACACAGTGTTCGGATCACAAGTGTCCGTAATGCTAAATGAAGTTTGTATGAAAGCGTTCACTATAAGTCGTTCGGAGAGAACGCTATCCGTTAAAAGCGCGTGTCTGCGAAAAGGCACAGATGCACTGTGTTTCAACTGCTCGAAAAGGTCAAATAATGATACTTTGCTCACCAAAGGCCTGTTCACAGGCTATTCTCACACTCGGCCAATACACTCTTTTTTTTTTATAAGAATGTTGTTTTTCCGGCCCAGGCTGAATATTCTTAGTTTTCTGCCGATTTTAGGCTGAAAATTTTCTTGTATTATTCTTAAATTATAGCTTATGACATTTCCGTTTTAGAATTTATTGGGGTATATGTATATGTATTACATGTACCGTTCATCGAACTGTCATTAGCGTTGAACATAGCTAGTGCAGGTTTTTTCGTTTTGTTGGCTAGTTTCGCCGTTCTGAGAAAGGAATAATTTTATACGGTTAAGTTAAAAACATAAAATTGTATTGTATTTACGGATGTTTCAACACACAAAATTATATCTATCCTTTTCAAAATCTCAGCCTTGGCTTTATTCTTAAAATTTCGCAAATTTCAGCCTGGATATTCTTATAAAATATATTCTTATAAAAAAAAAAGAGTGTATTTGTTCATCAACTAAAGTTAAGTTAACGCCTTTAGGTCAGTGTTCACGTCAACGACGGTGTATAATTTAACTTCGGTTAATAACAATACATCAATAATAGATGTATTTAAAGAGGTTCAAGTTGTTTATTTATAGTTCCTCGTAATCAGACAGTTCTCGTCTTAACTTTAGATTAGCCGTCTATACAAGCAGTTTTTTTAAAATCAAAATTACTGTACAATTTTCAGCTCAGAGTAACGAAAAAATACTCGAGCAAATAATACCTCAGCCATTCCTTAGGATAGAGAAGTATGGTAATCGTAAGACTCACTGTAGTATGGCAAACCAACCTCATGGCCCAAACACACCAACAAAATTAATCGTTTTCTGACCGAGCTTTAGAAAAAATAATAGCAACGCTGATTATTTTTCCTTAAATGTTGCTCGTAAATGGCTTAAAGTTTGCCCAGGTAAAGCATCCCTTTCAAATTTTAGATTTCGTTTATTTTGCGACGTCTCCTATTCTGTACATTACAAACGAGGAGACTGGAACGAGGTTAACTTTCGCAAAGACTTCTGGGACTGTTACTAGAGACGGGGAAAACAAGCTTAAGCAACATCGACGGAGACGGCAACGAGAACGGCAATAAAGCAATAGGTTTAGATTGGCAAAACAACAACGTTGCACGTGCATCACACTTTTTTGCACATTTCTTTGCCGTCGTAGCACGACTACAACGTGAAAGTGCCTAATTTCACGTTTTGTCGAGGACGTGAAGACAAAGCAACGACATTCTTTTTCTTTTCCTGAACTTTGATACAGTCTTTTAGAATTCAATTCTAGAAACATTTGCCAGAATTTGACGAACTGAACGAGATGGAATAAGCGCGATAAAGTTTGAAGTAGCGCGAATTCACTTTTTGAGTGACGTTTTCGTAGACGTCGCCGTCGTTGTTTTTCCCTAATAGGGACTTTAAGATCCAACGACACCGAGGGTAACGAGAACGTCAAAAAAACAATGAGCTTCATAAGGAAAACAACAACTTCGCACGTGTATCCCGATTTTTTGTACATTTCTTTCCTGTTTTTGCACAACTACGACGTGAAAATGCCTAATTTTGCGTTTTATGGAGGACGTAAACAAGCAACGACGAAATTTTATTTCTCTTTCTGAGCTTGGATTTGGTCCCTTGAAATTCAGCTTCAAGAGGGTTCGCCTACATTCCACAAAGTAAGTCGGTAGGAATAATCGCTATAAAGACTGAAGGAACGCAAATTTACTTTTTAAGCGACGTTCTCCTTGCCGTCGCGTCGTTGGATCCTTAAGTCCCTAATACCTGACCAGCGCGTCCCCAGTTACATCCCAAAAGTCCTTGCGAAAGCTAACTCGGCCTAGTTTCTTCTCGTTTCTAGGTGGCGAATAGGTTAAATGACGTACGCAGTAAACGTAAACTTAAATTGTACATTCCTTGAAGAAGGGATGGCCAGCTTATCTGTGAAACGCAATTTAATACCGAGTTTAGTGTGAACGGGCCCTTAACAACACTACAGGCCACGTGTTGCTTTGACTGATGAAGCATTCAAGTCTAAAGGTGTCAGGCTACGACTCAAGTAAACTTGTTCTTCCGTAATGGGATGTTAACGAGACTAGACGAGGGCGGCGGGAAAAAATACAGATGATTGAACAGTCGAAGTATGAACTATTTTGAATTCTGTAGCCTGGCTTTATAATTAAACAAAGAAATGGTCCAGTTGTCTGAATCACATGCAGTCCAAAATCCCTTTCACTTCCTTTCACTGGAAAAGTGAAACAGTTCATCTCCGGCTTTTTGATATACCACACCAGAGTTCTCCCTTTGCTCTTTGCCTGCTTTCCTTTCTGTGGCTGTTTACACGTTACACCCTTCCCTTGGACAACATTTGGATCATTATACGTTTCTGGGAAACTGCCCACCTACCCCTCCCCTAAGCCAACATTTTACCCCAAGTGAGAAGTAAGTGATGATCCAAACATTTTCTGTCTTCCCTCGAGAGTAGAGAGAAAGGGTAAATGTTACCCCCCCCCCGGACCAGACATAAACTGAAATAATACCGAGGTCCAGGGCTACTAGAAGTGTTTCCGAGTGTTCCTGCGTCTTAAACGCCAATCATCTAATCAGGAATTACTACGCACTGGGTAAGTTACTGCGATGGTTTAGAAATACTAGCGTTCTTTGCAGTCGCTACATATCACATCTGCAGTCACTGGTCCTTTACTGGTCTCTTTCTCTCCTTTTGACCAGAAAAGGCGTGACAAGATTATTAACGTCATCCAATAGGAAACAGGGATGCGGGTCGTACACGAAGAGATGATGATGAGAACGACAGACCACAAATGCATCATGTTCCCCTGTAAGCCACGTAGTGAATAGGAAAACCAAAATTTCAAACCTTAAGGTGTCTTTTTCCCCAAGACTGTAAAAAAAATATGACCTTTTACACCTCTTAAGCAGTAAAACCTTCACTAGGCTGCCATAAGCTACTATGCTTGAGTGAGTCACGATGTCTTTTATGTCGTTATACCGAGAGGAATCTATTTAGTGTCAAATTTTCTGGTATCATCTTGTGAACCATTTGCGTGACTTGCGTGACGCACATTTTCAGCCAGTGCTTCCGCAGGTCACGTCATATTACGGTACCACAATTTTCCCAGAATCAATTCAATAGCACCTCTCCGCGTTGCTGTAGGCCTCATGATGTTAACGTGCGACGAGCCAATTTCGCGCATGACAAATGCTGGTCAAATAAAGACCTTAGCCAACCCATCGGCGCCAGCGCTAGCAATGTACGGTCGATTAGGATGGAAAGCAACGTCATATATGGCTTCATCAAATTTCTTCCGATGTGAAGTTATTTCTTGGACGCATGTTTTGCTGTCCAGATTCCAGAGACGAATAGAACAATCATGGCCTTAAAAAAACAAAAGTGTATCGTTAATTATTATACCTTGTACTAGCCATCTGCTTTTTTTCATTGGCTAAGAGCCTACAGTTAGCTTTAGAAATCGCCGCAACCAACTAACCAGCGATTAGTCGGTTATCTGCTAGAAGACAGCTGTCAAACCGAAAGGTGCACGAAATGAGCGATTTCCAAGAGCAGTGTCAAACTGCGTTCCGTGCGACGGTGTGTTTGTCGTTATTTTCTTCAAAACGAGGTCTAATTAAACAATTAGATTTTTGTGACATCCGGAATAACCAAGGTCTTGGTGATCGTCACTTGCCTCGACCTTGACCTATACTCCGGTTATCATCCAATAATTGCTTATTAAATGATTGAATTGGCCTGACATTTCAATGTCATCTTACTGCAAAAAAATACCTGCCAAGGGGTTTTCCCAAGAATTTAACTTTCTTTTATCTCTCTCTCCGAGATCACCTGTTGACCAGAAAACTTGAGAAATCTGGGTACAAGCTCTAAACCGTAGTGCGTTTTTGCATGACTTCACATGGTCCATTACATGATGATGTACTTAAAGCAATAAAATGGCGTCCATTCTGGCTTGAGGCCAGTTAATTGGAAATTCCCTTTTTTATGTACACACCTGTTGTTGTTCCAGCTAACTAAAATAGTCACCCGTCACATGAGTACAGCGCTGTATTTTTAAGGGACCCGGAAGAAATAATACTAATAATAAAATACCCTAGATGCTCAGTTGAACACTATGAAATCTTATATTTATCATACTTCCTGAGAGGAGGTAGAGGCCATTGGGATCCACTGCCAGACTCGTGACTGCGTCCAGATGAGCTACCATGGTGTGGACCTGTTTACCTGTGGGGGCAGAGGAGATTGATGTCATATATATTCAATTCAGTCGTGAAGAAATGCATTTTAAAATAGGTATTTCAATGTCTGAATAAAACGTGTAGCCAGTGTCAAACGCGGGAAAATGTGTTACCAGGGCAGTTTCAAGAGAGCACAATTATAAACAGCAAGGATTCCCGGGGACATTTCTGTCGAAGAATTAGAAAAAGAAATGGTGAAAGACCTTTTCTTAGCTTTTATGATTTGTTTTCCCAATTCAGCCCACGTTTTGTTCGGTTACGTGAATAAACGGAACATACAAGTTAAAGGGTCTATTTTAGCCGACATACAAGCTTTGATATTTTCAATGCTTTTAGTTCTCGATACTGGAACAAGTCAAACAGCCAGGCATTGAGAGTAATTTGTCACCCATGACAGACAAGTGATTGGTAATTACATGGTATACTCAAGAAAGTAGGAGATAATTTCACTTGCGTTTTGCCAAAACTTTTAAAAAGCACGAATTACTTTCCTTTTACACTTCTCATTTGATTACACATCGGAATTCAACAATAGAACCAACCAGCTTGTATGATTTTGTTTATACTTACCAGAATTGTTATCGAAAAAGCGTATATGTCTGTCCTCATGTGCAGTGACTGTGAGGGGGAGGGTGGGGTGGCTGACTACTTTGTTGATTTGAGTTGACGGTGAATTATCTGCGAGTAAAAAAGGCAGTGATAGTAATAGCCCATTTCCGAGTTCCAAAAGCTCTCACCTCCAAAACGAGGCTAAGTGCAAAACCTTTCTTGTGAAAATTTGTTTTATTTGTACGAGAATAAAAAGTCACTTTCACATCAATAGCTGCGCACTTAACCTCGCTTGGGGCAACTAGAAAATAGCTTATTTACTAACGAGTGTAATGTTAACTAAATAACTGGAGGCAGTTCTAAGTTTCAAATATTAGGATAAGAACCTGCTCTTTTTATAAGAAAGGAGAGAGCTTTAGATTCTAAGACGATTACGAATACGAATACAAGATTTTCTCATTACTACGTAGTGCTCGCGCGAGAACCAGCGTCATTTTTTGCCGGAAAATGTGGTAGCTGTCGTCATTCTACTACAAGTTTTAGCGCGAATGTCGTGGTGGCGAAGAGAAGTTACCAAATGTTAGAGTTTTATCATTTTGCGATCGGGAAAGCGCGTAGACTCCTTCACTAACGATAACAGTGCAAACTTTTCTAATGAAATATGGTAAAATGAAGCTTTCCGGGAAGTTTATACTTTGAGAATACGCGAAAAAAACTTCAAGTCAAATCTCGTACTCGTAGTCGTTCTCGTCCTCGAATCTACATGTAAAGGTCTCTAATAGGGAACTTAAGCAGCGACGTTTTTGAGCAACGCAGGTCAACCGGAAGTAGATTTTTTGCACACTTGAGCCGTAATTTTGAGCAAATTCTTGGGTAAATCTTCTCTATAAGAGTAAAGACACTTAGCAATACAAATTTGGCCGTGTCAAGGCATATTAGGAGAGAAAAAAGCTCACTTCCGGTTGACGTGCGTCGCTCAAAAGCGTTGCTGCTTAAGCACCCTAATGAACCATCCAGAGCGTGCTGAGGAGCTACTCCTGCCCATTATTCCTTTACATCGCAGTGCACTTCACAGGGCTCGAAGTTAACTTTTTAGTGCACTTGCAAAGTTTTGCTAGTAAGATTTTTTTCCACTAGCAAACTGGTGAGACCAATAGCAAATTCTTTCCTTTTGTTTGAGAGACATGGATGATTCTAACTCGAAAACGTTTGCTAGTGGATATTTTTTTCACTCGCAGATTATCCAAATCACTCGCATTTTGTGAGTTTGCGAGCGTCAATTTCGAGCCCCGCTTCAAAAAACAACGTCAGTCCCACGTCTTAAAGGGGCTATGTCACGAGAAGATATTGTTGTTTTCAGCTTAGTTCTGTGCAGGAGTCATTACTTAGTGCCTTTACCCACCGTTCACAAAATACCGGGCACTCTAATCCAGTTCTGGCCCCTCTCTCTCTCTGTCACGCAACGCCGTGAGAGAGGGTCCCTCCCTCCTAGCATTGCGTGACAGAGAGAGAGAGGGGCCAGAACTGGACAATGGGTACTCCTGTAGAGTTATGAAGATATAAACAAACTTCATCAGGTAATGTAACAATAACCATGAGGATTTTTAGGTGATTTTTGCACGAACATTATCAAAACTATTTGCGAATGATGAGCTCCGTTTATCGTTTGTCTCACGATAGTCGCTTAAAACTTTTTTTAATCGTTGAACGCAACGTTTTGACTGTTTTCTGCTGGTCGTCGTCAGGTGCTGTTTGTCGATTACCTCTGCTGTAGTGATTATTTGCCTGCGTGCAGACATCTCCTATCGTGAAAAGTAGACGCGCGAGAGGCACGCGAAAGCGGGGGGCCTTTCCGCGGCCCCTCGCGGCTCGCTTCGAACGGCCAAACAGGAGACCTTGCTCGCAGGCCATCCTATCTCACGCTAGATAGTTTCCTAGCCCTTCCAACATTGGACTATGTTGAACTAACCATAAGCTTGTAGTGAAACTAAAGCACACTATCAACTTACTGTATGTTTTTGCGCTGTCGAATGATACTACGGGAGCAGCAGTTTCCAGATCATAAATAATACACTGAGCAGATGAGTACGCAGCAACCATCTGAGATGTCTCAGTGCGAATAAAGTCGATTGATGTGGGAACGCCATCAGCTATTGAGGAGTGAAAAACATGGAATCACTGGTTAAACCATTCAAAAGACAGTTACCCTCCTACTGTACAAGGTGGTTCTAACTTTTCAGTCGGTGGACGAAATCCCGATACGAATTTATCGAATTTCCGATACTGTTTATTATGTTGTACTAGGCAGTAGAAACTTTTAAACTTAGTAGTTTGATCACCCAAACATAAACTAACGCGAAAAAAACCTTCCCATGGTACTGTTCAATACGTTGCATAATTTGCGACTAGACACTTGGGGGACAAGACAAAATGCTTTGATGTGCACAACCAATTCAAAGCAATTACCATTCCTACAGCTAAGTATGAAAGAGATAGACTAGTTCTTTATTATGGTTTGATCGACAAGTCTTTTTGGAATAAGAAAAAGTACCATATCACGTGGTTACCATGTAATCTGACGGTAACATTTTAGATAGTCATGAAATCTTACGGCGAGATAATTGAAACGAAGTGAGAGCTGACCAATAGAGACACCACTTACCTTGTCCAGGGACATAGCTGTTTAATAAAGGTGATTTTAGCGTGGGACTCCAAAGCTTGCAGGTTCCATCTGCTGAAGCAGAGAGTAACTGCAGCGAACCAGTCTGCACTGCTAGGTCCCATACTGCATCGGTGTGTGCAACAAGGATGGCACTCATATTTTCAGAATCTGGAAATAAATAAATTCCACATTTTTATTGTCAATTAAATATACACTTCCGCTTCCTTTAAACAAACAAGACACGCATGTTTCACCCATTAATCCTCCACCCATTGGCCAAACTAGGAAATGTGCCCAATAAAATAAGCGCTCCCGATCTCCCCTCAATATTTTGAATACATTTGACCCTAAAATTGTGGGACACACCAAATTAAAATCTCTGACTGAATTAATACATAGTAAGGATATCGTGGATATTGCAAGGAAATCGTCTGATTTTTCGTTCACATTTTTCCAAACGTTGAGTACACGAGAAGCATTACAGCAGAATAGTTTCTTCTACAGTATATCAGATCCACTTCTTTCTTTCTCTACGTGCCAGCCATATGCTTTACAAACTCATTATTTCAGTTTGTCAAAGGAAAAACATGACGTTAGTCACCTCCCCCCCCCCTCCCCTCCATTAAGTGCTCCACCACCTTTTTAGCAAAATGCCAAAACAAGAAAGGAAAGAAATAATAAGTGACATAAATAATCAAATAAATACTGTACTTTGAAAACTTACGGTAAGGTCCATAAGGATCGATATCAAGAGAGGGGATACCCCAACAGATAATTGTTGAGTCAGCGCTCCCGCTGAAACACATCTCACTTGTGGAATTTATTACAACAGATAGAACAGGTGCACTGGGAAAAGGAAAAAAAAGAGTGTCAATGTATTTTGTGTTAAAGTACTGATTGAGGACTTCACTGGAGACGGGACCGCCACTCTACGATGTCATTCGAGCCACGCGAAGTTCTAGCAGTTTGCAGGGCAAAGTCAAAGACCTGAGTATTGGTCCAGCCCCCCAAAAAACCTTACTACACGCTTTTTAAATCATAGTTTACACTTTGGAAATTTTATTCTTGTATTTCACCTTCCCATGGTTTCACCAATTCATCCCTGCAGTAAGCTACGCAACACCTGGTGATGAGATTTCTGGGTTTGCCCCCTTCCACCCTTTTCCAGGCTCCAACATAGTTATGTCAACTGACGTGAAAAACCCGCGGGTTTTCCCAACGTCCAGGTACTATCCGAGCGCCTGATACAGGGTAATCGTTACTAAAGCTGATACTCAGTCCCGGAAATCGTGTGCTACTAGCACCCAGTCTCCCTGAAAATTCTTTCATGATTAATAAAATGAAGCAGAGGTGTCTCTTCTGATGGCTGTAAAGTAGAAATCACTCACGACTTAAAATACCTAAATGGCTAACAATGGCCAATCACTTCAGTTGATAGGTAGGGATGTTTTTTTTTTCTTTTCACTCCCCCACTGCCACAACCCACACAGTTTTCGTGAAGGCACATAAAACAAGCGGTCGTTATAGCGAGCCTAACCGTAACGGTAACAGCAACAAAAGCGTCACTTATAAGCATGCATTTATTTTCTTTTAACCTTCTAACTTCCTCAGTTTGTAAAGTATGGGGAAATTCCTCTTGGACTACATTTTTCGAGAAACATTTGTGGCGAAATAATGTTTAAGTCCTCCAAAAACTGTTTCATTACAAATTAAACATTCGTATCATTGTGAAAAGTTATTTTGCATAATTATTAAACAAACAATGCTTTTTGACATTCCAATTGCCACTACCCTTGTGGTTACTTAAGCTCCCTAAGGAAGAATACGATGAAGTCAATAAGTGATTTTTCTTGAAGTTACCTATGTCCTCTGAAAGTGTAGATTGGTTCAACATCTAAAATATTGCTCCTGTAAATTTGAAAAGACAGAGAAACATCACTACATGTATGTATTCTGTGACATGCATACATAGGGCAAAGGATTTCCACAGCTGACATCATTAAGGGCCCAGTTGTTCGAAGGCCCATTAGCGCTAACCCTGGGTTAGTTTTTTACCCAGGTTTCTCTTTCTTTTGTTCAAAAGCATTTTCCCGGATAATTTTCTCTCTTCTTTTTAGAGCATCCAATCATCAATTGTAGGCAAAAAGAATACAACTGAATTTGCTTCCCAAGCTTTCATATATGAAATCAAATTTCGCACTAACACTGGGTTTACTTAACCCTGCTTTGAACAACCCAGCCCTGAACCATACAGAGTAGCAGAGGAGCAGTGTACTTTTTATTCTCATCATTATTAGCATTCTGGTACAGTCAACTTTTTGTATACTGGACCCTGTAGGGACCTTGAGTTAGTGTCCTCATTAGCGAGAGTCCGCAATAGCGGGAGTTCATTTCAGTCAAACGTCTGCAAAATATTTTTGCCTGGGATTTAGCTGCTGTCTGATTTATTGGGATGTCCGTTATAGCAGGGTGTCCGCAAGGTGAGAGTTGATTGTATTACTGTTCTGGCTGCTACTACAGTCAACTCTCTCAAGGCAGACAGATTTGGGACCGGCACTAAGTGTCTATCTTAGAGTGATGCCTGCTTTGCACATGTTGAAGACTGCAAAATAAAGAGAGCAAGAAAGAAAAGGAACAACTCGTGGTGTCCGTTTTACTGAGGTGTGCGTTAAGAGAGAGTCGACTGTATCACCATGACTCCCAAGAGAAAAATTAATAGTTTGAGTTAAGAAGTTTGATGTGAAGTTTAAGAAATTCTATGAATCAATAGAAAGGTAATGTGCATTTATTCTACGTTGTCAACCAAGAGTACAATAAGCATTTTTTAGTTTTATAACGCACTCTATACCAGTGTTTTGCAGGGAAATTTCTGCCACATGTAACTGAATTACATTGATGTCACTTAGAGAATATTAATTGAAACCAGTTAATGACTACTGCTACCACTTGAGGTTTACCAGCAGTTTTTTTTTTTCTTAAAAAACAGAGTTTAAGTTTACTGATATAAATAATAGCCTGCGTTGCAAACGTAATCTGACCTCGGTTAGTAACGTCTGCGAAGCAGCGGCGAGATCCTTGTTCTCGGCCCCAAACCAGCTGAAGGAGTCACCGGGAGTGTGTTTCGAATTTCCTTTTATCCTCATTAGTAAATCAACGATGGATTTTTAACAGGCCAATCATGGAACGTACTCAAATCTTGGTGTACAGGTGGAAGCCCGGAACCAAACAAGGATCATTTTTGGCGCTGTTTCGCAGCTGTTTTGTCTGTGGCACAGGCTAATAAATAACTATTTGAAATAAAAATTAATAGAATTTAAAAATCTCACTTTTTCTGTGGTACAGTCTTTTGAAGATTCCATAATTTTAGTGAGTGATCTTCTGAAGCCGTTATGAGAGCAGCTTCAGTCGGGTGAAAATAAAGAGACCTTATACTGTCAAAGTGACTGCAAAATAAATTCAAATATACAATCAAAATAATAAATATATAAATAAGGATGAAGAAAATAATAACAGTCCCACAAGGGTCCTATAACAATCCACAGCTACAGGAAATGTAAACATTGATGCTATTTATTTTGCTCATGAGCACGAAGAAGAAAAACTTGTCCAAAGATTATGACTTGAGTCCATCACCACTTCCAGCACTACTTCTATTAATTTTGTCTGAGTAAGGCCTGGTTTGCAGTCTCATGAAGGTACACCCAAAATACCTCCATAACTGCCCATATTGCCAAGGATACTATTCCGATATAAGACCTCAAGTTGCCATACCAGCCATTAAACAACCTTGCAGGCATGCCAGCAGTATCAACTTGTAATGGCTCTTATGACAGTATCTGAGGCAGGACCAACAGCTACGTCACCGGTACCCAATGTAAGCAGGTGGCTAACAAGAACCAGGCTTGATACAACTGAGCAATCAAGACACACGTCTTCCTCTGAATGATTAAATCTGTATGTGCAGCTCTGTTTTGAAGTTAACAAAAAATATATTTACAGGAAACCTTTTCATTTCTGGGTACCTTCTTAATGTGTACTTTGGGCTCCATGTCTTTCTAAATTCTTCCTTAGCACTCACCTAAAGAAAAACAATGTTTAATATTAAATGTACATCATGACCACTGCACCTCAATAACTCTCACTGAACTTACATTGTATACTTTCTGATAAAAATTCTATTTGTAGCTTTGATACAAATATATTATAACATGTGTCTAAGGAGTGGAACTTGGAGCCAGTAAGAACAATTCTAGCTAGTGATGATGAGATTGGAACTGGGTGCTCTGGGACAGATTTCAAGCCCTCCAACCTAATCAACCAATTATGGTGTCTCCTGATTTTTTCTTATTAAACCAGGGTTTTCCTCAAGAATTCCAGTAGCAGGAGAAAGCTGTAACTTTTGAAAGAGGCTCCACAAAAGTAGTCAGAGGCTATCAAATGTTAGCCGGGGAATTCCATGCAGTAAACAGAGAATTATCCGATCCTGAATGCCTAATGAACACCCTGTTAAACTACTAGCTGCTAATATCTTTGATTCCATAGCATCATTAACTGTACAGAGTATACATCATGCCTGTGACTACAGCTGTACATATATAGAGGATATTACACGGTGGTGAGAAGATATGAATTTTATGTTCGAGTGGCAAGAACAATATCTCACGAGTGAGCGAAGCGAACGAGTGAGATATTGTTCTTGCCACTCGAACATAAAATTCATATCTTCGAGCCAACCTGTAATGTTCTTTTTATTATATGGAGAAACCAATTCAACAAAAGCAAAAGGCGGGAATCGTGACGTCATTGAACGATACGACACTCGCAAAGGTGACCTACGGAAAATACGCCACTCGGGTCCCGGATGAAGTGGCGTATGGAATCTACGAGTGGTTTAGTTCCCAGTAAAACACTCTCCTCCATATAATAAAACTGGGTAACTGATGGTACAGCCTTATTGTGGGTATGAGTACTGTGCAAGTAATATGGAGTTTTACCATTTACAATGGTAACGGCAGCAAAACCTCAAACAAAAAGTGAATTTGTGTTGCTTCTAACTTCTTTCTTATTCCATCTTGTTCAATTTGAGTTGTTGTTTTGCTTATCAAATCTACTGCTTTTTTGCCAGGGTTGTTGCCATCGCCATAGTTGTTGCTAAAGCTCCCTGATGAATACCAAAACAGTGTCTCAGTACTCAAAGATCAACTTTCTTCAAAGCAGCCTTTAGGTGACCTAAAAGTATAGAAAGGTTGCCAGATGCAAAATTTTGGCAGCCAGAGGGAAAAGGACACCTTGTGCAACACTTCATGAGGGGTTTGAAATAATCAAAATGGCTACCCAACTATTGCAACAGAATTGGAAGAGCACAATGGCATCTCAAGGCTTAACCTTGAAAACCTTGGTAAAAGAGAAGAAAATGGAGCATAAATAATATTGAATGCAAATGTTTACCTCAGTTTAGCTTTAGAAATTACAAGAAGTAAGAGAACTATGGTTTGGCACATGACCAAATGGTGACTTTTGCTGCAAGTTTAGTCACCAAATGTTATTTTTACTTGCCATAGTAACAAAAATCGTCACTGCTTGGAGAACTGTTTCAAATAAATTATTGTGATACAGTTTTAGTGGGATACAAATAACATTGACACTTACTTCATAAGAGAGTGCTTCAGCTTCATTGGACACAGTAAGACTTGCCAGTTCACCAAGACCTAGTGCACTCTCAAAAGGTTCATCCACTGCGGTTGTGCCCGCACCTGACGAACTACTTGGTACTGAAACACTAACTATGGGTGGAATCTCTGACGTAGCACGAGAGCCACTTAGTCTGACTGGGGGTGGAATGTTTATGATGGGAGGGGCAGGAGCAGAGTGTGGCATTTCATCTTCTCCTTCTAGATTTGCCAGCATGGCCTGAAGCACTGACTTGGTTGGTCCTATGATTAAAGAAAAAAATTACACATTATAAGGGCTTGAAAAAAGTCCCATTGGGTAGTTGGGGACAAGTACATTTTCTTGCTGGGTAGGAAACATTTCTTGCTCACTTGCCCAATGGGCAAGGGCCCAGGAAAGTCATCCTCTGACAAAATCATTAACAAAGATGAGCAAGAAGTGGCCACAGGCAAGTAAAATGTCAGAAATGCTTTCCCAAAAAGGACATGCTGTAATCCAGGTTTTTTCTGAGGCCTGCATCATCCATTTGATTCATATGTTAGGAAGCCTTACAGGGTGTATAGGATTATAATAATACATGAAAATTAATATTAAACTCACTGCAAGAGACCTTTCTAGCAATTCTACTCTGTCAGTAAGCCACAAAATGAAATGAGGTTAAGGCTTTCATGGGCAATCTCACAAAAAACACTGTATTTTGACAATTCAAGCCTTGAGTTGGTACTTGTGTCTTTTGCTCAAAGGAAAGTGCAAAGATATCATTTTACATTAATCAGCTTTTTTAGTCCTGCAACGTTACCCCTTTTAACTTTGCTGCCAATTGACTGCTGGAACTTGCTTACTTTTTGGGCTCTTTTTGTTTTTCTTCTCTTTCTTGTACTGTTCCTTTAACTTTGCCAAGTACGTTGAATCAACTCCCCACTCATTCTAGAACATCAAATCACACAAACTAATCAACCACAATCCTACCATGATTATTCTTTAAATTCAAAGTTACATATGTAGATTGCACATTTACCATCTACAAAATCTCATGAATAGCCATGAACTGTAAAAAGCACAAACCTGGGTATCTGTTTCATCTCTGCTTTCTGAAGAGAGAAAAAACAATTAAAAAACAAAATACAAGAAAAGCATACTACTAAAACATTACAGTATATGTAACAGCTGTATTTATTGGCATAAAAATAATCATTTTTTTTTTAAGTTCTAGACAGAAGAGAAATAATCATAAAGCTTCATGTAAACTGCAACATGTGTCTTGCATACAAACTCTAAGTGGTAGATTGTTTCCAAAAATTTGATAATTAAATAACAAGTTCCTTTGCAGGCTGCCCAAAAGCAACATAAAGAAGTAAATACAGCTGTAAATAACCCTTATTCCAAGAAGGAATTTGATGCTGATAACCTACAGGACGATTCTCAAAAACGATTTTTAGCACAACACAGCAATGCAATGTTGGAACAATGCTGTAAACATTCGAAACTATGTCGCAACAATCGTGCAACGCTATGTTGCGCTAAAAATCAACATTGCAAGTCATCTCCTGTAATGATGATGATAATAATAATAATAATAACAATAGGTTTATATGGCACATTTAATCTAAATGAATTAAGTACAGTAATTACTTCTAAAAAAAAAAGTCTTCAAACGTTGCTTTGAAGTGGAAACAGATTCAGAGTATTTAATATGATCAGGTAAACTGTTCCAGATTTTCAGTGCATAATATAAAAAAGAGTAATGTCCATAATTCACAGTATTAACAGAAGAAACTTGTAAAAGCAATCCATTAATGAGAGGACTAAATGATCCAGTTGGTATTGACAAGGAATGAAGACAAACATGCACTTTTTAATAAAGTAGCCTGGCCACAGATGAAAGTAAACCTCTGGTTAAGTCTGTGCTGAAATCCTTGTTCTGAGCCCCACCTGTGTACAAGGATTTGAGCACGCACAATGATTAGCCTGTTTAAAAATCCATTGTCAATTTACCAATCAGCATGAAGGGAAATTCAAAATGTACTTCCAGTAAGTCATTGAGTCTGTTGGCAGTTCAAAACAAGGAGCTCTGTGCTGCTTAGCAGACCTAACTAGCCAGAGTTAGATTAGAATGTAAATCTGTGATGCAGGCTATAATTAAGGTTCTGATAGAAATTATTATAAAAACCTTGTGTTGTAGGTTCCTCTGGCATGTGAATATCTACATCATTATTGTCTTCCATTTCAATCACTGTTACGTCTGTTTCTGAGCCTGAGTCTTCACCCATCACAAAATCAAATTCTGCAAGCGCATCTGCTGTTTCCTCATCAGGAGTTAACATTTCTTCAACAGCATCTTTGCTCACATCTTAATTAAAAAAAAAAAAAACATAAAAAAGAATAAAATAAATATTGCTAAAAAATTAATCACTTCTTACAATCAGGGCTGCCAAAAAGTTTTTAAGTAGCAGGCTGATAATGAAGAGTAGGCGGCTTTGGAACTCGCACCAAAAGCACAAGCTCTTGAGAGCTGAGGCATCTAGGGACATTTTGAAATATGGCCTTTCCAGGGGTTTTTTTAAGAGGTATTTTCCACTGCAGACGCCATGTTGTTTCGTCAGTATAGATGTACATGTAAGACTGAGAAAAATGCCATCAAAATGTCCCAGGCATTCCATGACATCGCATGGTTCTAACATTTCACAGATCTAAACCAGTTTAAATATGCATTCAATGACTTTCAAAACTAGGAAATGGATGATTTACAATTTTATTCGATGGTGCTTATTTTTCGTTAGCAGTTATGGTAGAAGGAGATGAAAGTAGCTGGCTAAGGATGGCTAACTAGCCAGCAATTTTGGCCAGCTACCTGACCTTATTGACAGCCCTGACTATGTTACAGTAAATGCAGGAGTGCCAGGAAAAAGCCCAATTCACTTTTGACATTGAACTACAGTGGAACCCTGGTAACTTAAACTCTGACGGGAAACGAAAACAGTTTGAGTTAGCAGGATTTCCAGTTATTGGGTTAAATTTCAGTGAAATTTTGTTTAAGGGAAAGGAATGTGTTAATTTATTTTAGGATGACCTAACTAAAAGGCTTTCTAAGGTAGACGCATTTATAAACAAAAACAGATTAATTTGTCCAAAAAAGCTATTCAAATTTCCAACAGTAAACAGGTTAAAAATGCAAAAAGTGCCCCATTTCAAGTGCCAACTCTCAACTCCAAAAAAATCAAGGGCACTACACTGCAATTCACAGTAACTAACCTGGTTTCGCTCTCTTGGCAAATCTTCTTCCCACTCTCATGTCATCTCTATCCTCCGATTCATCATCAGCACTCCCTCCATCGTCTAACTCATCATCATTATCTTCTTCATCTTCTACATCATTCTGGAGGAAATCAAAGTTTGCAAGTACTGATGCTTCTGTTTCAGAATCATCATCTAATGGAGCATCTCTAGAACTGCCTGGTCGCACTGGAGGCCTGTTGAAAGAATACATGTACCACTGTGTCACATACTAATGTAATCAGATGCAATCTGGAACAGTAAAATGTGAATATGAGATCATCCCAATTCTTTGGACCTGGATAAAAAAGTCAGGAAAACAGAGATTCAGATTAATCGAGAATGCGACTAGAAATAAGGTCTTCATTGTAGCCACTTTCACTTTTTCCAGTTGCTAGAATCCTAAGTGTTGTGAGGGGATGAATCCCATGGAGTAGGGGCAGAGATGCTCAATGGAAAATTAGATGAGGTGTGCTGAATGCCCCTCAGCATTATTTCTAAATGCGTGCAAGGATTCCTTTTGCTTATTAAAATGACAAAGGATTTGAAAATTCATTCGAAAAATCTTGAATATTATATTTGAAAAGTTCAAGATACAGCCATTCAGCAAAAACTAATTTAACAATTTCTTAAGAAATACATGGACTTCCAGACTGTGTGTCTGGCAATCCATACATCTCTTAGTAAATTTTCAAGTTTTTAAATAGCTGTACAGTGTATCTTTTTCACTACTGGCCCGATCAACACCAAACTTCAGAATTTTACAAATCTTGCTTTCCTCTTGCTGACCAAGTGGGTCTCCTGTTGCTTATCCCACAATACACAGACTCATACCAGTCCTTGAAACTAGGTGATGACAATTCTGTTACAGAAGGACTTTGTCACATACACAGAGCTTTCCTTCAACTTTCTGGCCATAGTACCAAAGATGGAAAAAGATTCAAGTCATTCACTGAGGACATTAACTTGCGGAAAAATTTATGCTTTGTGAAATAATGTGAAAATGAGAAACATGTATGAGGTTGGCCAATAAAGGGGAGGGGGATAAAAATAACAGTTACAGTAATATTATTGATCCTGCCTGCTGCTACAAAAAGGGGTATTAGTTACAAACCAAGATTATTTGAGTTCAAGACTGATTGTTTCCTTAATTACAAAATTAAGCTCTAAGAAAAATAAGGGGACCCAATGCTCTGAACCTGTGACATCCTGCAGCAGCATAGCTCAGAATAATTATGATTTTTATTCAAACACACAAATAGAAATTTTCCATAGTGATCTCCATTCATTTCCTTACAGAAATAGTTAACACAATTTGATAAACCATCAAAGAAATTTTTCCTTCTCTCTTGATGATGTGTAAATATTGTTAGGAGAAAGCTAGTGTTGATCACTCTTGGGATTTAAATGGGTTAAGAGAGGAGGGTTCTAAATTGCACAGGTATTTTTTTTTTGACATGGAGCATCTTACCGTTTTCCAGGGGGTATAGAAATCATACCATCAGCTTCTTCTTCTGAAAGTTTTCTACTCGATTCTATTCTCTTAGGAGACCGAGCATTCTCGTCGATAACTGCAAACTCGTCTCCACGACCTTTACCAGAAATTCCATTAGTATGAGGATGGTCGGGAGTAGAATCTGCCACTGAGAGGCCTAGAATAGACCTTACACGTGATGAGCGCACATCTAAAATAGTGTCTGTGTACCCAACCTCTTGAAGATACCTGGAAAAACAATGCAACGTCAAACACTAATAATCATATCAACCCTAGCCTCCCCTCCCACGCAGATGTTCTCAAGGCTTTGTCACAGGTTTCTTTCCCACAAACGTCTGGTGAACTTTTTATAAACAAGATTGATCACAGTTCTTCTGTAACTTGAATTCCCCAAAAATCTTTGCTTGCTCAACACGCAAATTATAAACCAAATTCACTAGCGTGATAGCCAAATGCACCAGCCATGTGGTCATGGTTATTTAAATGTTATTGTGAACTTAATCGTAATGTTATTGTGAATTTTTTTGGCACTGTGCACAATAGACAATAACAGGTTGTTAAAACCATTACCAACCCTGGACTAAATGAAAGCTCCTCGTACAAACTGCATCACATTTGCCTTTGTCTAGGATTTTCACCAGCTTTAAAACTATTTTACTAAATACTGCATTTCCGTGAATAAATGCCCAGGGTGCTTAATTAAAAGTTTGGCTAAAAGGATGGGTGCTAATTTGAAGGAGAGCCCTTAATCAAGGGGGGAGCTTATTAAGTTCTCCTGTTAGTAATTCAGCATACCTTAGTCCCATTACAGTTTTCACAAACAGAGTTATCAATAAAGTGGCAATACATAGAAACAGGTTTTCCTTGTAATACCATTATACATGTAGAAAGTGACGGGGGAGGGGAGGGGCGCTTATTTAAAGGAAGCACTTATTCAATATTTGGGCGCTTATTCGGGGGAGGATGTTCATTAATTAGAGCATGGGTGCATACAGTATTCCAGGAAATACAGGATGCAAATACCAAGGACTAAACTTACTGCCGCAAAAGTTGACGCCCCTGTCGCCAGTTGACTCCTTGTTTACTGTTATTGGTATTTGCATCATGGCAAGGCTCCTGGTTTACCATTTCTTCTTCCTTGTTTACTTTTTCTGGTGACAAATCTGTACCATACTTTAATCTATGATATTTTGCCCTGTAACAAGGAAGTAAAAATTACATGATTACGAACAAAATACAAACAATATACCTTCTGAGAAAAGAAAGTAATCAACATGTCAAGAGTGCAGAAAAATTCTGAGTATGGCCTAACCTAGATGAATGTAACTCAGTGGTTAGAGCATCCAACCAGTGTGTGGACGGTCATAGGCTCAAATTCATATCAGGGACACAGATTTTTTTTCTGTCCCACATTCGTGACATGTTGATTAAATCTTTTCTCACTTCTTTATTGAGGTTAAAATTTTCTCTCATTCTTTATATCATTGTACAAATAATGTTTTTATCTTTTATGGCAACCACGGCAGTCACAGCTTGATTTTAAAATACTATTGGATGTAACAGCAAAGCCTACCCAACAGGGTTGTCATTAAGAGCTGGGGGCCAGGGATTTTCCCCGGCTACTTTTATTGGAAAATAGAAGAAAAATAGAACCAAAAGAAATCCCTAGCCGTTTGATTCCCCGCCTACTTGTTGTATTTACCCAGCAACTTGAAACCTTAGTGACAACCCTGCCCAATATGAATACCAAAGAGACAAGGCACCCAGAGTGTGTACAGTGTATTACAGGAGAAGAAATATTACGGAATTGTATGAGAACAGTATCTTTGGGACCAAATGAGCTGTCCTTTATAGAGAGGCGCCTTAGTCAAAGGGTTTGATATATAGATCTTACAACATGTGGAATTACGACTGTGAAAAAAAACAAACAAACTAACTAAAACAAAACAAGCTGTGCCCCAAACTCAAGTTTCTTTAAAGCTGCCTTTTGGTGACCTAAAATAAAATGGTGGCCAGACGTAACATATTGGAGGCCAATAAAATGGAGCGACAGTTGATGCAACATTACATGAAAGGTTTGAAATAATGAAAACAGCAGCCCAAATATTCCAATGAAATTTGAGTGTTAATGTGATATCTCAAGGCTTTAAACCTGGATAACAAAGAGAAAATAGATAAATTTTAAAGAAAATGGAGCACTTAATGATGTTTCATGCAAACTTTTATTAGGGCTCACAAAATATTTGAATTCCAGCTTAATGTCCACTGGGAAAGAAGCTTTCACCAATTGCTTTCCCAGGGCCACTTCCTGCTTGTCTTAGTTAATGATTTTGTTGGAGGATGACAAGTCATGGGGCAAGTAAGCTTTAAAAGTTACTTGCCCCAAGGCTGTGCTCTAAGGAAAATTGAAGGGAGCCCAGTGCTCTGAAACTGTAAAATATAGGGTGCCCAGCATATGATTTGTATGAAGAATCTGAGATTTTCTAGTCGCCCAAGGACAAAAGTTACAGACCAGGGGCCACCGGGCTCTGCTAGAGCACAGCCCTGACTTGCCCAATAAGAAAATTCACTTGTCCCGGACTACCGGGCCAGACTTCTTTCAAGCCCCGATTTATAAATCCCAATTGAGCTGTAAAAAGACCTTAAAAAGCACTAAAAGCACCAAAGAGCATTATAAACACTAAAGCTTGGCAGATGACCACTGAAAACAGATGGCCAAAGTGGTGACTTTTGCAGCAATGTTAGTTGCCCAAAATTATCTCTAATCAGCTTGGTGGCCAAAATGTTTGCAGCTTGAAGAGCTGCGAAGTTTATAGTACCTTTCCTGTTTGAGAGCATACTCCAGCATCTTAATTCTTCTAATCAAGTCATGTTTGAGTTTTTCCTGTCCTTTCCTCTCCCCTTGCAGAAATGCTATACGTGCCTGAAAATAAGATAATGGCATCCACATGTTTAGCACAAGCTCTACAGCCCTATGGCATGGTCATATTCACATACACTGTAGCATCAACAGCTTTCCTCAGCAATGTATTAATAATATGGAGTCATCAACATGCTTCTTCCCAAGGTATTAATTTTAGACTCACAATGTGCCAGATGAGAAGCATTATTAATGGTTACTATTATTAGGGTATGGAATATCTACATGTACAGATGTACATCACTGAAGTCTGTTAATTAGTTCCAGGAATCAGTCACGATTTCATTGATCACAGGCAATAATCAGATTGTCAAAAACAATGGGTACACCGTAATCAGATAAAAAATTAATGTACATGCACCCTACAGATTTGTCTGCCACTTTCATCTAAAAGAGCATATGTATCAGATTAATTTTGTTTCAAGTTTTTTTTATTATTATTATTATAATGAATGAATCACATACCATTATTACCTACTAAAGTGGACATACAGCTGTACCAGGAGAAATGGCATGCTGTACAATAGGACTGGAGTGGACTTGTGAAGTTTGAAACCTGCACATCTTTTTTTGAGGGAACACGGTCTCTTTAAATATTTTCTTTCCTAAGGGCACGACACAGCTGTACACCTTTGGGGGTGTGTAAAAAAACCATCTTTATGAATAAAAGCTACAGATGTAGACTGCTCTTCACCTGAGCAAGTTTTTTTGCTTATGACAGAATCTTTGATTTTAAGGACCTAACACTTCACAAAGCAACTTGTCGTCACAATAGACTTACAACAGTAGCCTGCGTGGCAGGCGCAAAAAGGGCAGGGGGAGGGGGGAGGGAGAAAGGGAAAAGGGAAGGGAGCGCCTGCTCTAAGAGCCTATGTTTTTGCATAATGCCTACCAATTTTCTAGTAATCCGATTACGCTTACTGTCAATCAAGTGTCGCTACACTCGCCATGCAGAAAAACATTACACTCACGGACTAAAGAAATTCGCTTAGTTATTCAGATCCAGAAGGCACTTTGGAGAAAATTGGAACCCTTATTCAGCCGTAATAAAAAAGCTTTACGTTTCAAAAGAGGTCAAAGAAATTGCGCTTGCATCAGAGGGCAAATCCTGTCGACCAGAAAACAATAACTACAGTCAATCGATATGTATGTCATGACCTCTCAGTGTGAAACATGCGGCTTAAATAACTTTTGCTCAGTATAAATGCAGACCAGAGCATAATCTACCCAGCAGATAAAAACAACTTTATTGGATATAAGCAGCATTTTGGCATGAGGTAAAACCACCCTCTTTTATTGCTAAGTTACATCGGCGAATGTCATTGTTCGATAAATTGGCTAAATCTTTCGCTGGATGGGCGCCTAATCCCTTAAATAAGCTCTATAAGCCCAACAATTCCATCTCCTGCAACTGGTCTTCGATAATACTTTTCAGTGGCGAAATGACGAGAATCGCCGCATTACCATTTAGCTCGTAGTTCTTCGCGCGTACAAACATTTGGTAAATTAAACTCTTGCCGTATCCGGTCCGCAAAACCGCCAGAACATCTCTGTCGGCTAAAAGAGCCCTTACTGCTGATTCTTGCTCTGGTTTTAAAACAGTTTCTCTAATACTAGATAAATTCACATCTCTCAAAACACTCTCTACGACATTCACGTCTACCGCTGCCATCTCGACTGTTTGTTGATTTGTGAAACGCGCATTTCAATATGTTACTCATTACGGCTCAGCCAATCAGGAATTTGCGGACGCCAGCATCCGCAGATATGAACAAAAGGGGCTTCTTAGAGCAGGCGTCCCCTCCCCCTCTCCCCAATCCCCCTCCCCTTTTTCCCTTCCTCCCTATCCCCTACCCCCTACCCCTTTCGACGCCTGTTACGCAGGCTATACAACAGCAGACATGTAATAGCCCCTATTATAGGTCAATTATTCCTTCTGTCAGAAACAACAAATTCCTTGACATGGCTTTATGAAGGAAAAGAAAACGCTTGTCCCAGGAAAAAAGTGGATGGGACTTTTTAAGTCGATTGCACTAGTTTTAAATTTGCAAGCTCAATGTCCATAATATTCAATATAGATAATATCACCTTTTTCATTACAATGGTATTTTTGTTTTTACCTACAATATTAAGTGTTAGCCCAATTATAACTTACTGTTCATGATTTCAAAAAAGTACATTAAATTATTAAGATCACTTGGAAATAAAGAAAAGGAACTCAAATTGCCCCTCAGTGATTTTAAAATCTCTGATCATGATTTCATTAATAAACCACTGGACGCTGAATTATTAATTCTATCATAACTTTTACTAAGAAGTCAAGGGATACAATAAAAGTCAGCTAAAGCATTGTGCTAGATTTCATTCACCATAAACACATAATAATCTATTCAATGGAGCTTGTTTACTAAATTTCATTAGTAAACAACACTACTCAGGCAATAATATTTCAGACTATAAAATAACTGTTTCAGGACAATGCTATTTTTCAAAGGAGAGAACAAGTCAAACAATAGACTTGACATTCAACTTGTCAACAAGCTAAGAGGGGTTTAACAGTGCAATCGAGTTTTGCTTAAAAGAAATGAGATTATCCCTTACTACACTGTACAGCTTTATTTGACACCGCAGCTGACTTTACACCACAATATGAACCAACTCCAAATATTACTGTGCATCATCAAGGAATATTTTGTTTAATATAGACATATATAAATAGATTGACATTTGCTTTTTTCAGGTAGAAATCTTAGTTTGTCGTTTAAAGCTACTGTGAGCCAAAGAAAAAAGATTTAAGGAAAATTCAGTTAGCGAAAGAGCACGCCATATAAGCCTGAATCTTAAACCAATGCATTTGAAATTGAATTGGACTCAAAATAAAAACACCATGACTTCGTCTTCTTCGATCTTAAATGAGAACATTACACCAGAACAAAGAAAAACTATTTTGAAACTCGCAAAATGGGTCATCGTTTGAGAACTATAAAGAACCAATATATCTCAAGATTTCTGCATATCATGAATTGAACATCAAGCTTGCATAAGTGAAAGATACGCACGATTGTAATTCATCGGCTTTACGACGATACATTTACACGAAAAGGGACAACAAGGCTTAATGCTTTCACACAAAAAAGGTGAGGTTCTGGAGGACCTTTTTCCAAGCATTCTATCAAGATGATACTTCGCAAGTAACTTTACGTTGGACAAAAACACTCCAAAGATCAGGTCAACAACGAAAAGCTAGGCGAAGGGTAATTTATGATCAAAAGGAGGAGGTTAAGTTTACAACAATTCCCACTTAAAACGCTACAAACGTAGATTGTATAGCGTACCAGGGTATTTTATACAGTTGTAAAGAAGATTTAACATTCAAAGGCTTCTGAAATGACAGTAAATTATATATATTACCTGCAATTCTGCCTTTTCCACATCCCAGTGAGCGCGATCCATCTCAAATCTAGCCCATTCATGTTGAATAAAGTGTAAAATACCCGGTATCGTGTATTTTATGCTTGAGTCACTCTCTTGGTTTTGAGAGGAAACGGGAATTTTTCCCCCACTGTCGTTATCCATGGCAAACTTGAAGCGACAACTCTCTACTGGATGCAGGCCGCCATTGCAAAGTTTAGCACGCGACAATCGATCGCTGCAAGAGTAACACCGAACGCGCCAAAGAAACTGTCATTTGATCTTTCATCTAATTTCGTAAAATGAAGGCAGAGGGTGTCCTTAAACACTGGAGGACGAAGAAAATTGTTTCTGCTTTATAATAGAGTAAATGTAAAGCCTTAACCTGTCCAAAAAACCGCTATCTCTTTTATAATCCCCTCTCAGAAATGGAAGACATTGAGATTGCCTATTACGATAGATCACATGACATCTTCTCTCTACTATCACCCTATCAAATTCCTGCACATCGATTTCCGGACATTGCCGAACACTCCCGACAATAAGACGACATTTCATTGCGCGTCCGTGTGCCTTGCAATTTTGCCAGACTGCAAACAACATTTATCGCAAAAATTACTTTTAAATGGCTAGACGTTTGATATGTTTTTCACCGTGCAAAAGTGAGAGAAGATTACAAACAAGTCAATTCTCTCAGAAGCTTTCAAGATTGGATCACATCCACAAATCCGTCATGTAAGATATACTCAACTGACATTTTGCCATGGCAGGTTTTGTCAATGTGGAAGAAGCAAGAAATATTCTCGAATACTTCAGCTGAAAGGCGAATGCTGTGCATCCTGTATGGTAAGTAACGGAATACAATTAAAACGTGGCTTAAATTTCGGAATACAATCAAAACGTGGCTTGAATTTAAGAATCTTAAGCTTAAAAATGTATCACGCATTTGTTGTAAACTGCCTGACAGTACTGCTCTTCTTTATACATAGCCAGTACTTTATAAACAACATATCTTCTGGGATGTAAATGAGCTGCAAAGCGGCTATAGAAGAGAATTTTGAATTTTGATCCAAAGTAGAGTTCGTCCCATGTGAGGTATTAAAATTAATTCAAGACAGTCTACTGGACTCCTGTTTCCCAGTAGCTCCCAGTGGTACTTGGATTTCGGATTCCCAGTGCTACTTGGCTTTTGGATTCCCAGTGCTACTTGGATTCCAGATTCCCAGTTGTATGTGGATTCCACATTGTAATCATTTGCGGGATTTCAGATTCCTTGAACTTAATTCCAGATTTCAAAGCTCAGGATTCCAGATTCCTCTAGAAAAAATTTCCCAGATTTTTAAATCCACACAAAAAAAACCTTCCTGGATTCCAGAACCTGGATTCCCTCACATGCTAGCTAGCACTTGTTACTCTCGATCTATCGCCCCATATGGGGCAATAGAGTAACAAGTGCTAGCTAGCACCAGTGCCAACTTCAACACAAATCAATACTTCTTTATGAGTCATCTATTTCCTTCTCTTTTACTTTAAGCTATCTGGAGTGAAACATACTAGATCAGGAATACCTATTCCTTTGGATCCTTCAGGATGCGAAATGTGTCTTTTGTTTGTTAAATATGGAAGGTGTCGCTTTAAGAGCAAATGTAAAAGATCTCACTGGACACCCCCTTTACCAGGTGCTTAATATATATATATACTAGTACTAACCAAAAGTTAAGCAGTGCATTGTGCATGGTCTCATGATGACCATTCTGATGATCAGGGTGGCAAAGGGGTTTTCCTTGATGCATGATGGGACCTACATTATCAGCATGATGCGTGATCGAGCCTAAATTAGCCTCATGATGCGTGATTCACTATTTTCAGAACACGTGACTTGTGATTTTCCTTTGAAATTTCCATGATGGTTGATATCATTAATTTAAAAGCAGAGACATTAAAAATTAATATATAGTTATGAAACCAACTTCTTGCCCTTTTTTCTCATTCATCGTCCTGTAATTTCTTCAGATCACATGATAATAGGATACTTGTTAATGTAGTTGATAGATATATTTTCTTTTTCGAGATGCATGATAGCTTAAAATAATCGACGTGATGCATGAAAGGTACTCCCCGCCCCCCTTTGCCACCCTGGGTGACTTACAGTTTTTGGACACACAACTGCAAAGATAGTTGGTTGGTCAACTAAATTTGCCCCATGTCCAACAAAATCTCAATAAAATGTGGCTGGACATCATGTCCTGACAAAGTTGGAAACATAGACTATCATTTTGCAGATTAATAATAAAAACTTTAGCTTGAAAAAATGAGAATATTGCCAATGAAACCAATGATATAAAATACACTGTTGCAGTGAAAACATAGAGGTTATTACCTTGCACAATTTTCATTTAAGATGTCCAATGCATCCTTGATTCAGTCTGACCCACAAAATTAATTGTGTTGTTTGACTGAAGACCCTCACTGGTGCCTTTGCACGCTCTTTATGCAGGAAGTCTCATAACTTAAACAATTGTGAACAGTTTTTGAAGAAATCTCTGAGTGACAAATAGCCAAACACATGTCCTTTCAAGAAAGAGAAATTATTTGCAGTTCTGGTAAAAAAAAAGTGGAAGCATTAACTGGAAGTCTGGAATTTTTTTGTAGATGAAGAGTATGCCAAACCACCACCCCTGCCACCGTACCCACCGCCATCAGCTTCTATTGGCAACAGTGCATCAGGAAGAGAACTTTTAAGTCATAATATTTACATGAAAGATGAACTAAGACATCACTTACCTGTCTTGGAATCAATCCATAACCAGCATAGATCTACTGCTTTTGCTGAAATGACTTGTGGACAGACCAGTGTACAAAATGTGGCTTGTGTATACAAGACTTTGCCTGTAAACCAAGAGAATGTATACCAAACACAGGAGGTGTCTCCATTTTCAATGAGCCAACAAAATCCTGGAGTTGTTTTGGAATATGGATATGGTGCAAACAGACAAGTGACAATGGTACCAGTAGTTTCATGCATTAATGGTGTTGATATGACCTTAGGAAAGGAAACTCAAGGTGTGCAGTCAAAAGACAATGATAAAGGGTCTGCTAGTGATTCCAAGTCGGTGGCAGAACCAACAGATACACTTATCAATAAAATAGCAGAAGTTCTTTGCAAAAGAAAGTGCAGATTTGATTTTGTGTATAATCCAGAGTCACAAGCAAGAGGTTGGTACACTTCACATAATAAATAACTGAAAATAATTATTTATTTGTCCACCCTCGACCTAGCCTACAAAGCAGGCATATTTTGCAGCGCAAACAATGATTCTAAGGGAGAGGTTGACGGGTCAACTCCTCGCGTCTCCTCCTTTCCCACCCCCTCTCTAGTTTTTCAATAATTGCTTTCATGTTGGTGGCCACAATCAATGTACTTCTGTGTTGCGCTTTCATCATAAAAGCCTACTCTGTAGGCTACATGTACCCTGGACCCTTTCTCTGAGTGTACAGCTGTAGCCTGGGAGGAGGCTTATAACCCTAGGGTGGGGTGTGTGTGTGCCTAAGAAAGGGAAAAGAGTGAAAGCTTGCATCTTTTCACTCACATCTCAGCCTGAGCTTTCTGTTATGTAGACTGCTGGCAGTCCACAAGGACTAATGCTAAATTTATTGTTTACAGGACACATCTCTTACGTGTATGATGTTAAATTTTTTGTTTGCAGCAGAAGGCTGGACGTATAAGAGCAGCGTTGATCAAAGTTACCAGCAGTATGGAGCTTACTATGATCATGTTAAAAAGAAGCTGGAATTTCAAAACCAACCAAAGAGCAAGGTAAAGGTTAGAATTAACTCATAATCATCATCATCATCATCCTCATGTCCGGACTCGTGCCATACACCTCATCTCTTCTGGCAATGGTGGGTTGACTTCTTCGATAACACTGGAAATTAGTGAACAAACGTCAATTTTGGACTATCAATTTTACTTGATCACCACTACATTCTCAGTAGCTGCTTATCAGGAATGAATATTCAAGGTAGAAATGGATACAAAGCTTTAATACAAGAAAATGGGAGAAAACAATCGGGGTCTAGCTTCAGTAGAAACTTTCCGGAGTAAGGCATAGTTTACCAAATCAAGCGCATCTCGTCAAGTGTCCCAAATCATTTTCACACATTTTTTTATGAGTATAGCTAGGCATTCGTCTGTCTTATCCTTACCACCATGTTTTTCCAGAAGCAGTAATGGCTTTTGCGTATGGCAAAACAATGCATTTTTTTATATGAAAAAAGTGGAGATACGTAGGGAGTTTCGTTTCGGCGACTTACGACGCTGTTATCATAAAATGGGTAAATGAAAGCAAGTTCAAAAGGAGTTCAGGTTCTGCAAATTTACATGAAGGAAGCTAAGCTAGACAAAGATGTTGTTTACTCATCTTTGACATGTCAGGTATGCAGGTGTTCACCAGTGCTGGGTGCTGGTAGTCATGCCCTTGGGTACCCACTGTTCATTTGCCCGTACTCCTAGGAAACCAATCCCAGAAGCATTTGAATTACAAGCAAGAATTGAAATGCTTCTGGGGCTAATTCTACATTTGTATGAGTAAGTACCCCAGGGATATCCCGTCCAATCTGCCTGCCCTTTTCCTAGTGGATACCCCATGTAATCCGACCATGGTATGCATCACCACCCTAATGATCAGTTTGCCTGTTTAAGGCTTATTTTCACACGCTATTTTGTTTTTTTTTTGGTTGTTTTTTTTTGTAGGTGGAGAAAAAGAATTTTAAGTTTTTACGAAGAGCCCATTGGAATACCTGCCAAGAACTCAAAGCAAGGCTGGCCGAACTTCCTCCATCGTACTCCCTGAGGGTCGATCTTTCCGGAGTGAACTTCAGCAGGCTGCGGCCATATTTTTATCTTTTAGTTCATAAGGTACATTGATATTTTAGTTTTTTTTTTTTTTCTGTCAACTTGTGAGAATTTATTTGCCAATAAACGTAATAAGGTTTTTACGGTTATTTTTCTGCGGTTATTTTCCCACCATGGTGCGGCCAACATTGTACAAAATGAGAACGTGTGTCAGTGACCATTATCCTCTTCATTATCCTCCTTTGTCTGGTGTAGCACAAAGAAGCCGGGTAATTTTGCCAAGAAAAGAAGTTTATGTACTGAGAAACTGATCAAGATAAATTATGAACAGAAGACCATGGTAGCCTAAAGAAACTCGGCTGTCTGGTATTTATTAGAGACCTTTAGTAATGGTTAGTGAGCATAAGGTGAGGGCAGCATGCAGAATATGATCCTTAGTATTGGACATTACTGGAAACTGAAAACCCCTTTGAGCTTTTGAGAGTTTTTGCCCAAACAATGGAAATTGTACAAGTCTTAAAGTCTTAAATTGAGTGAGGTAGTTATGGGTGAATTAAGTCGTAATCGTCCCTTGCAACCAAGAAAACTAACACACGAAAATGTGGTGAGGTTGAAAATGAGTTTGGCAAGAGTAAAGCCATGTTTATCCGTCTAACACTCTTTCTTTGCAGTGCTTCCACGCCCAAGGAACAACAAACCATCACTGGAAGCCTTCCCCGTTTTCTTGTTTAGTTGCTGAAACGTTAATTGCCTTGTTCGTCACTGGCAACACATCACCTGCAGAGGCGGAGAAAAGGATCCAGGACTGGTGCGCAAGGCCAGTCAGGGTTAGTAACATTCAGTACCTTGTTTATATAATCAATAGTTCAGACCAAGAAAAATATATAATGGGAGAGAGAGGTAAACGCTCAGTCTAATCCCTTGGGACATGTGAATTTCACCAAAGTTTTTTGGACCAATTAAACGCTTGAAATCAATCGGAAGTTGGTTTCCGGAGAGGTCCGCAAACTTTTTTCCCGCGTTGTCAAGAGAGAAAAATGGGGCATTATGCTATGCTGAATCGATGACATTTCAAATAATCTATTTGATTGTTAATTGTACGGACGTCCTAGGACGTGGACAACCTCTAAATATAACTTAAATGAATTTCGCATATCCCGGCCAACGGTCTAAGATTCCTATCTGTCTTATTATTTTTCTCTTGCTCATTTTGCGATCGAGAGAGGGCTTAACCTCCTTCAGTATAAATAACCGTACTAACTATTGTAGCGGAAAAAAGTAAAATGAAGCTTTCCGGGGTTTCTTTTTTTTTTTTTTGAGAACACGCGCAAAAACTTTAAGTAAAATCTCGTACTTGTACTCGTTGTCATCCTCAAATCTACAGCTCTCTATTTTCAAACCGCCTAAAAAAACCATGACAAAACTAACGGTTTTCAAAATAGTCATCATCTAACTAAGGCCCTGTTCACACTAGCCTGCGAATACAGCCGTCTCTTTCCACCCGCCTCGCCCGGCACTCAGGACGTTTTGCGGGAGATAGACTCTCCACTGCGAAACGTCGTTGGTGGCTAGGAGCGAGGAGAGACAGCTGTATTCGCATTCGTGTCCACACGAATCCAGGTATTTTTGAAACCGCATTACGCACCAATCGGCCGCTTTTTACGCAAAGCCAGTGATTCCACCCAACAAAAACCGTTTTTTAGAATTGTATTTTTCTTTTCCTTTTTTTTTTTAAACCGGCGAATTTGACGATTGAAACCGTATATTTCCGAATGGAGTATCACCATCAGCCAACCCGGATTCGTGTGGACGAGGCCTAACAAACCTGAGGCCAAAGATAAGGCGGGCTCATTTTACGCCCATCTCTCCGCGATTGCTTCTGTTTTAAAGCTACTACAGCTAAACGAGAAGAAAAGAATCATAAAAAGGATTTGAGGTCACACCTGGGAGTCGAAGTCGGGACCTCTTCACTTGCATTCGCCACTTTAGAAACGATAACGGAACTACAGCCGAAGTGTGTCCTGTGTTTCTGCGAACCTTACTGGGGCCGCGCTGGTCAGCGATTGGCCAATTTTTTCACGCCTCTAGTAACAATCCCAGAAGTCTTTGCGAAGGTTAACTCGGCCCAGTTTCCCCCTCGTTTCCAGGGACTTAACGATCCGACGACGCGATGGCAGCGAACACGTCGCTTAAAAAGTGNAGGTCACACCTGGGAGTCGAAGTCGGGACCTCTTCACTTGCATTCGCCACTTTAGAAACGATAACGGAACTACAGCCGAAGTGTGTCCTGTGTTTCTGCGAACCTTACTGGGGCCGCGCTGGTCAGCGATTGGCCAATTTTTTCACGCCTCTAGTAACAATCCCAGAAGTCTTTGCGAAGGTTAACTCGGCCCAGTTTCCCCCTCGTTTCCAGGGACTTAACGATCCGACGACGCGATGGCAGCGAACACGTCGCTTAAAAAGTGAATTCACGTTCTTCCAGTTTTTATCTCGATTATTCCTACCCATTTACTGTATCAAAAGTAGGCAGATTCCCCTGTAGTTGAATTCCTAGGATCCCTATTCGACCTATTCAAGTTAAAAAAATGAAATAGAATTTCGTGGTCGCTTGTTTACGTCTTCTATAAAATATAAAATTAGGCAATTTTACGTCCTAGTCGGGCAAAAACGGCAAAGAAATGTACAAAAACCTGTGATGCACGTACAAAGTTGCTGTTTTGCTTTCTAAACCCATTGTTTTTGTTGTTGTTGTTGTTGTTTTGTTTTGTTTTTTTGACGTTCTCGTCACCATCGTGTCGTCGGATCGTAAAGTCCCTTCCAAAGTGGCGAATAGAAGGCCGCGCACTGACCAACTGTGCCAATCCTTACCCCTGTTGAATAAAACCTTATGTGCCGCAAGTATGACGTTTAGTCCTTCCTTATCACCTCTGTGTTCGTTCCTAGGTGCGTCAGTGTGTTTCACACTTGTGGAGCATTATTGTGAAGTCTTCAATGTCACCTACCGGAGTTGCACAGGAAGTACTGAACTGTGAGCAGCAAGTGTTTTCTAAGAAACCGTAAGTTTCTAAGCACCTATTTTTCGCATTTGCTGTGAAAACCTAACACTCCCCATCCTTCTATGCCTTTCTGAACTTTCGAATGCGGTATGGAAGGTGAATAACTAAACAGCGGAAACTAGTTATTGCTTTCAATTGTACACCCTGAAAGGTCGGGCTCCTGGGGTAGGGCTGTTACATGCTTAAATTCTGGCTCAACCTTTTATACACCAGCATTGCTGAAAAAAATGGGAAGTGCAGCACCTCACTTTTATTATGGCATAGTTATGACTGGGATTAAAAACAATAGAGAGAAGTGTGACGTCACGTTACCATGGTAGCCAAATTTCTGGATCTCAACAATCTATCTTGACAGAGAAGGCCATTTGCATTGTCAAACGATTAAAGAAAAGTATGGGCAACTGTTTTGTTCTTGACTGTAATCATGTACAGGAAAGTCATACATGACAGAGTCACAGCCTGGGCTGTTAAGCAGATACGAGCATTAGCCTGAAGCCTTAAAACCGATCTTGAGTCAGGTTTCCTTAAGATCAACCCGCTTCGCTGAGCTCGGGGCTTCAGAAACCGCTCTGTGCTTTATTTTCGTCCTTGGTCCGAATACTATTTATCCACCAGGCTTCCCTTGTTTTCGATATTTCCATTTGTAAGTTTGCTGTGGATTTTCACTGTTGTTTTAATTGACTGGAATCATGATTGTTTTTTCTCCTGCAGATGGGCCTTGGACTACGCCTATGCTTGTAAGTTATCAGGACCTTTAGTAAAGGGAGATATAAGACACTTTGCTCACAAACATACTGCTAGGATCATCCAATCGGTCAAACAAGGAATTCAAGCTGGTAAGAGAACATCACTTTTACAATCGAAAAGAACAAATTCAACACCTTCTACACGCGATGGAAATGTTAATTTAAGGAAAAACGGCAGGAAAGGCAAGGCGGTTTCTAAAACGCCGGGTGATGGAGCGGAAACAGCGAAGGGCGCAACGGGGAAGCGAAAGAAAAGAAAACGACCTCAGCATCTGTCGCTGCTTGACGAACAAGGAAAAAGAGATTTGTTCAAGCGGTGTAGGACAATTCTTGATGACAACTGAGACAAGTTGAAACTACAACGATGATACTAGTGATCAATAACAAACTAGAACTATATTTTTCGATACAAAAAAGTACCTTTGAGCGTGCTTTCCTGAACGCATGAATAACATCCAATTACCGTGATGTATTTTGAGCAGCTCTGCGAGTGAAATAAAATATTGTCTCGGAACTTGCAAAACTGTATTAACTGAATTTTTAAAGTAAAACTTAAACACTGTTAATTCTTAGTGAGGAGATGTTGATTAAAGGCAGGTTAGTTCACCCTTTTTCTTAAAAAAAATTACACTTTTTGGAATGATATGGACGGGAACCTCCAATAACAGAAGCATCTCATAGCAGCCTTTCTTTGTGTTTGTTTGTTTGTTTTTTATTTTTGCCTAGTCCTTGTACGGCGTTTTCCCAGTCCCTCTCGGTCAATTCACTTCGGTGACGTATCCGAGGCGAACATTTCGCTTGGGCCATGTGACCCGAAACGCTTTGGCCGCGCGGAATAATGAGGCCAAGGGACTAGGCGAGTGTTTTTTTTTGTGTCAGAACTAATAACTACCCGTTATTAGTTCTTAATTTTCTCATTCAATCAGTATTTAGGTAAGCGTTAATAATTAAACTGATTGCTGGATCATTACTTGTAAGTGTGAGAAAAGTTTTTCACTTCCCATATCGGCATTACAAAACCCTTCAATGATCATATCCGCATGATTTTTTGAAAACTTGCATTTTAAAATCTCCTGTTCTAAGCGAGAAAACAGTTCAGAGTTTATCACTCCTTCTTTCCCACAAGCCCATGCAACCTGACTTAGCTGATCTCCTTGAAACTCTTCCAAGTCTCTATCCAGGACTTCTGCCGCTAGTTCCTTTAAAAATCTTTGGCAGGGAATTTCTGACAACGCATAAGAATACATACAGAGCGATATTTCACTGTTTGTAAGCTGGGGAAATCCTCGCCTGTAGATCTCCTCTGCTACGGCTTTGAAAACCTGTCCCTCATTCATTCCTCGTGTTGCAAATGACCAAACAATCCACAATAGAGAAGAGGTGAAGAGATCTTTGATTCTGTTGTCAACTATCTCCTTGTCAAAAGTCTCAAAAAGTCCCTTGCTTCCTTTTCCTGCGGTCGCGAATGCCCACAGCATCATCACTACCTCTTTCCTCCGAAGTCTTACCGATGAGCGTCGTAATATCTCTTCCTCAGCCTTCTCGAACAAGACATCGGAGAAAACGCCACGCATGGCAAACGTGTACAAGAACTGAACGATCTGTCCGTTGTGAAAGTTCTTGAAATCTCTCTGAATAATTTCATACTCTATGTGATCAAAGAACTCGGAAGAGCCACGCCCCACCTTGGCGAAAGCCAGGAGTATTCCGTTTATTTGACGTGCCTCGCAGATTGATATCCTGATCACCTCATTCAAAATAGACTCCTGAACTCGCTCAAATATTTTGGAGTCCTTCATTCCTAGGCTCGCACAACCAGTCAAAATCTGGTTGATCTCAGATGTATGAAACAGGGAAAAGTCGTGCGATAAGATTTCTTCTTCACAGATTTGAACCAGAGGGTGCGTTTTATCTCCAGTTCTCCCTAGAGCCCACATAATGTTCGCAAGTCCTTGAGCTTTGCAGGATGAAATGTTTTCAGAAATAAAGTCTAAGATCTCGAAGTACGCACTTTCCTGGCCATTTCTTGCTTTTTCTCTTTCTCTCTGCAGAACTTCTTTTTCAGCCTTGTATTTATGGGCAATCTTTGCAATACTGTGAAGGACTGTGATTCTGTTCACTAGCGATGTCTGATCTTTGTTATCCTGGTAAAACTCCAGTTGGTCATTTATGGTATTTTTAGATAATATCTCGTTATTAAGTTCCCTTTCCCTGGCATAGAAAAGTGGTACATTGGGGCTAGAATGACACCTAGCTTTCTGTATCACGAAGCTTGTTGGCAGCAAGATCATTTTCTCCATTAACTGTTCGCGCTGGAATAAAGAACCAGTATTCCATGTGCTGTATTTGCAATTTACAATTGACTCGCATGGAGCCTGGAAAATCTTTGCAGTTAGTGGAGGCAATGACTTCCTGGCACCTTGTTTAAAGGAAACCAAAGCAATCCTCCCACAGCGAGGTGCCAAAAACCTTGACACAGACATCGCGTACACTAATGTAAAAAAGTATTTCTTGATCCTTAAATGGCTTGCTGATCACAGGTGAAGGTATCCGGCATCTGTTTCTGTTTGAAAGAAGAGAATTCGAAACATGCCTTGTAAAATTACTTTCTGACAGAAATATCCTAGACGATCATTAATTCCAGACCCTTTAAAGCCATTAACTTGCTCAAGTTGAGACTTGAATGTCTTCTGATCAAAATCTAGAACTCGGGAATCGCCAAATTTAACTTTGCAAACAAGGGGCTGGTTTTTTTGGATTATAGTGGAGACCTGCACAGTGAAGCAGTTTGCGTGGAGCCCCATGGGTAACAAAATACTTTTGTCTATCCATTTAAGAAATTTTGGCAGTCACGTGACCATACGCCTGTCTGTCTGCCTGCACCACAGGGTTACCAATGTGAGACGTAATACTCTCCTACGTGTGGAGCCTGTGGAAAAAAGCTGGGGAAGGGAGTGGGGGGGGGGGGGTCTGTGTTTAACAGTAACTTGATGTCGCAGGTACAGATTATAGTAAGTTAACAGCTGTTTAAACAAGGTATCCCCTGACCAGTATTACAAGACCACATCACGTCTGCAACCTCCACGTAGTGGAGTGAAAGGTCAATTTAATATACAAGTGTAACAGTGTGGCCATTGTTGTTAGTTGTAGAGTCTAAAATCTAAAAACAAGACCCTACACTTGTAAAAGTTCTTTTAAATTTACCACAGTATGGCAATTTGCTGTCATTGTTTATTAAAGTGACATACAACAATCCACATGAAAGTCCACTGACAGCTTTCAAACCACATCAGCATGCAAAGAAAGTCGTGTCCGATAGCCCGGGGCTAGTGGATTTTGCCATTGTGCTAGTGATTTTTGTTCTTAACTTGCCCGAGCAAGTGCTGTTTTGGGGGGAAATTCAATTTACAGAAGGATTGTAATCAATACTGCTAATCAAAAAGGGTTTTGGGGCTAGTTGAAATGACTTGTGGGCTAGTACATGTTAGCTTGCCCGAATGGCATGCTGTAAAACTGACCTTCTTTGCACCCTGTTTCCCCTGTTGCAGGGCATCCACTGACCCATGTCACATGACCATATTGAAGCTCAGGTTCTCTACCTAACAAGGTCACATAGTTTTTGGAAGTTACCTGCTGACCAGTTGATAACATTTATTTTTTAGCAGTAGCTAACTTGATTTAACAGTTATTGTAGGGTCAAGTTGTATTCTTTTTGTCATGTCTAGCCTGCATAGCAGGTTTTCAAAAGGGAAGGGAAAAGAGAATCAGGCCAGCATGCGCAAGGGAGAAGGGAGGAGGGGAATGTCTCGGGGAATTCAGGATGCATCCAGCCTACTTAGTATTTCTACAAAAATTAAACACCTGTGAAAGTCTGGCTGTCAAATGGCATCCAATCAAGAATGTTTGAAGCAAAATCTCAGCCCAAAGTATGTTTTTGTCTTTCTTACATTTTTTCTTTCATTACATTTTCAAAGCCCAAATGCAGCTGGTCCAAATGAGGAAAATTGCAACAATGTGTGATCATTTAGAAAGTTGAATACAGTAATACAAAATCCATTGCAAATGTGTTAAAGCTGAAGAAGGAATTATTTGGTGTCATATGGGCTGGACAACATATTTGGTTGGGTTTAAAATAAAAAATAAAAACCTTTAAAAAATAAAGCCCTTTGTGAACTCCTTGAATTGATTTTGATCGGAGCATAAACAGAATGCCAACAGTATAGAAAGGCAGAAAAGAAGATTTTCTCTGCAGTTTTGTCCCAAATGTATTTACATTCAGCAGAACGACATGAAGTCGCAGGGAAAAAGAATGTAAATTATTTCTCATTAGTATGAATTCACACAAGCCATTATGGCATTAATCAACTCTATTGTAGTTTAGTGTATATTGGTTTTGACAGTTTTAACGCTTCATCTCAGCCTTTAAACTTTCAACTTTTTACTTTTTACCTTTAACTTCTACAGGTTTGTGTGACTGCATCATTTGAAAAATGTTCCCAATTTTTTCCCATTGGGTTTTTGGGGTCAGTTTCATATCAGGATGCAGGTGAATAGTTTAGCCAGAGTGACTTTATGAAGGATTGTTTGTACATATGTTTTTAAAGGTTGAATTTAACTTCAAGTCAAAATCTTCTAACCTGGGTTTATTCTGATTTCCTTTGTCTCCTAATTCATGAATAATCAGGGCTAGGAGACAGAGGAAATCGAGAATCTACCTAGGTTAAAAAATTTTAAACTGAATACAATTTTGACCTGTAACATATGCACTTGTAGATGTGTATGCACTTTGTGTGGTACATCAGACAGCAACAATCACTCAGTATGATAATTGTTGTAAACTAAGAAATAAGGCAAAACATACTTCTAACTGATTCTATAAAGCTTATAATACTAGCAGAAACACTTAACAATGCTGGAAATTACTGTCGGACATCGGACATTGTCTGATCAAATTTTCGAAAATGTCAGACCAATATTGCTATATGTTCAGACATAATAATTTATCCAAGAGCTTAATTGACTGATTACTTAATAGCTCTTGTCCTAGAAACTTCTTAACATCTCTGAGTTGATTTCAAAAATATTTAAAAGGTAAAACAGCATGATAAAAAGGAAAAATTTGCATTGCAGTGAAAGACTATCTACTTTGAGAAAACATCTTCAGTATCTGCCAAAATGAAGCAGCTCTCATTACTGGGCTAGTACTTTCCATATGTGGAAATATATTTTATGCAAGTGAAAGCATGTGATTTAAAAACAAAATGTCTGCCTGTTTCAAAAATCGGAAAAATGAAGGAAGATTATTTTGAAAGACGAACAAGAATACTTTCCATAGAATAATTTCCATAGAATAATTTTTCACAACTTTGATCAACAACCAGAAGGAAAGGCAATGTTTAAAAGTAAATTTTGTCATGAATTTAAAGAGATGAAAGAAAATAACTTCACAATAGTACACTTCATGACTGCTGATGCCACACATGTAGATCCCGCAATGTAGATGTTGAAATCGGCTGTGAACCATAAGCAACAAGATATTCTCTATAATACCACAGGGATGCTCTCTAAGACAAATTTAACATTGTAAGACATGAAGCATTTTTTTTCTGATTTTTTGGAATATTTTTAATGAAACAGCATGTACATATCACTGCTTTGGTTTCGATTTGGTTAATTACAAATGAGGCTTGTACTGCATGTATTATTAAATTTGACGAAATGTTCTAAACCCACATTCCAGTTCTGTGAATTACTCCAGCTTCCACTAAAATAAAAATTACATCCAGGCAAAATTGTATGAACTTGCCAGCCAGTGCATTCTACCAGTCTATTTAGACTATTATTTTATTTTGTTTTTCAAAGTTTGAGATTTATGCAAAATTGCATCTGGAATCATGTGAAATTCAAAGTAAAGATTATTCTTAAAAATAGCAGAGTCACCAATGTGAAGAACACGTTCTTGAGAGGGCAATTACCCAGAATTATTGCTTGGGTTTTCTTGCCATGGACTATCAAGTGATTTAAGGCAAACCAGGGGAAATCATAACGGTTATTTGAATTGGGGACGCCTTCAAATAAGCGTCGCATTTATGATCAAAATCAAAAGACAACAATTTTGTTACTTTGATACAGGAAATAACAATATCGCATTTAAAGCCACCCTCAGTAAGCACCACATTTAAGGTGTGAAAAAACTTAAAAAGCACCATGGCACTTATTCGAGTAAATACAGTATGCTAATTAATGTCCTATCAAAATGAAGGTTTGAAAGGGCATATGTCCTTTTAAGTAAGACAATTATTTGCAGCACGGCTCAAGCATGAGTCATGATTGAAATAATTCATCAGATCTTTTAAGTCAACTGTCAAGTGTGAAGTGGCAGACATTTACCTTCAATTCATAACTGTTAATGTAGATGTGGGTTGAATTTAAGCTGTCAGTAAAAAAAAAGTTTTTCTACTTTTTGTCTGGAAGACGGTAATTTTAATGCACTCTAAAGTATTACAGAGACGAGTGCTTTGCTATTGAAAGTAAACTACAGATTAAATGTGATTGTTTGGTTTTATAAGGGTTCTGGCATCTTTTAATGTGGCTAAATATCATTTAGGCAAAGTTTAACTCGAGCGAGCTGGCTAGCTGTCTTCTCCCACTTCAGTATGTGACCTACGGCGCAGCCCATGGGGAATTGCAGGGCTCCTTGTGTACCCTTTTGCTAGTGTTGCTTTGCATTGTAGCTTTGCTTACTGATCGTAGCGGATCAATTTTTGCCTACTTGCGAATCATTGCAGATTCTTGCTCCCTCTCCTCGCTCCCTGCCTGGTGGTTTGGTAAGTATTTTCTGAGGTAAGTATTCTCTTAAAATGCAGACTGTGGACTGCTGACTACAGACTATTGATTCTAGGGTTAGAAAACAATGGGACTATTGTTGTCACGTTCTCATTTGCAAAGTGAAAACAATAGCCTGCACTCTGCAATTTACACTCATGGATCTCTTTTAATATAGTAAGAACTCATTGGGTTTTGAACTGGGACTCGTTGATTCTGGAATGGGACTGATGATTTTTCAGGAGATGAGTCCAAGGACTCACTAATGGGCTACTGCATTTTAGTAAAATCCAACTAGTGGTCTATTATCATTGCTGCATTCTAATTGATTGAGCTACTACTAGGCCTCTGAGTCAATAGCCCATTCGCCATTCGGCCACATGGGCTATTGACTCAGAGCCCACGCAGGCTCGAGGAATTACTGTTCATAACATCCCCACCTGCCCTGGTTGAAGAATGGAATTCTCCAGGGGTAAGTTATAATAATTGAGGATTTCTTTAGGGGTAGAGTAAAAAACTATGGAATTCTTTGGGGATGAAGCTCTAATTTTCACAAAATTCTTCAGGGGTAGACCCATGTTCTTCAGGAGTAAACCCAAACTTTATGGAAGTCTTCAGGGGTGAATGCAAAAGGCCACTTGCATTACGAGGTCACGTGACCAATGCTTCATTTAAACAATGAGTTGGAAAAATGGTGATGCCAAAAATCACATTTAAGGGAGATATTTTATGGCACCTTGATTTTTCATTACAATAGTATGATTTGTATTGGCCGCCATGTTGGAGGGCATACTCTTGCCCTCCAACATGGTGGCCAAAACTACTTTATGCTTATATCTTGTTAAACATTTAATAGTTACACTCAGATGTGCTGTAAACGTTACCACATCATCTTTTCAAAATTTTCCTTGAAGTTTAAGTGCAAAATTTGCGTTCAGAAAGAGGTGATTCATAATTTTAAAAATCACATATTGGTCACGTGACTAGCTACAAACTTACTCATTTTAAAAAGTGGTGCGGGTTTGAAAAGCCAAATCGCTATTATTTTGTTTAATATATGACCCACTAATCGTATAAGACAAAATCATATAACTTTTATTTTTATAGAAACGATGTCACATGACCTCTTAGTGCAAATGGCCTATTTTATCCAATCTTTAGGGATAAGAAGAAAAGGCAAGTCCTCAGCGTGGGGGGTAAGGATATAAGGAAGTTAAATTAATGCAATGGCCCCAATCAGTATTGTAACAAAATCACCGAACGACAAACAATAAAATAGGTTGTAACTTTTTACATTGGAAGTTTTTGATTGATTTGTGGAATATCTTTTCAATTTCAATTTAACGACTTTACAATAATCGTAACAATTTCATTTTATCTACCGCTTTTGTATACATCTCTGGCTTATTCTAGGAAAGGCAAAAAAATGTAAAATTGTCCTTACTTCCTTACTTAAGAATTCTTAACGGTATACAGGAGTATGATCTATCACTGTATTCTATCAGGGTTCCGCTGCATTTAAAAAATCTAAACTTTCAGCAAAGGGTTAGCAGTGTATACACACAGATTGCATAACTTGAGCTTATTAAATTAAATTTTTATTTCTAAAGGATGAAATCGCCTAAAAATGCTAAGTTGCCACTTTGAAGACACACTTTTTGTCATATATGCATCGGCTACATACCTGTTTAGACGTCGATAAGTTCAGATGTTTTACAGAGTACATTTCTTGCTAATACGTATCGACATTCACCGAAATGACCGCCATTTTGAAGTATCATTCCCAGGTTCCTCAAGGTTCCTCAAAAAATGTCTACGGTCCTTCCCAGTCCCTAAAGCGGAAATAGCGTAGCGCGCGAATGACGTCAGAGTGACTAATTTGCAATTTTTGTCTGAGTTTTGCCATTTTTCTCATTTTAATGACAAAAGACAGACAAACATGATATTTTTTAAAATGACAAAAGTGGCGAATTCGCTAATGTTAATTTCAGTTTGTTTGTCTGAGTTTCGGGTCTATAAATAGTAACTGCGACTCCCGATAACTCGAAGGGTCCTCGAACCCTCACCAACTCGAACCTCGCGCTAACTCGAACCATTGATAACTCGAACCTCCCGCTATCTCGAAGTAATTTTTGTTTCCCTTCAGATCATTTCTAATATAATTTTACCCTTGACAACTCAAACCATGTTTTAAGTGCGTGACAAGTCGTGACAACTCCTCAATATCTGGGGTCACTTTTACTCCTTAAAAAAAGAGTTCTTTAAACTCCTTTTTGGAGTTAAAATAACTCCACCAAAAATAACTCCACTGTAAGGAGTTAAATTAGCCCCACTAGAGGAGTTATTATAACTCCCTGAAAATTACAGTGTGTCCAGAACTGTATATTAATCAGGCTTTGTTGCTTTCAAAATCCTTTTTCAAAAGATCAGTATATATCCCTGCTACCCTTGAAGACCTTGAAGTGAATTGGGCATTATACTTGCACGCCACGATTTTTCGTTGTTCAGACCGTCCCACCGGCAGGGCAGCCATAGTCGAAATTTGGTTCGATATGAGCTCTATACAGCAGTATAGCTGCATCTACACATATATACGACCTAAGAAAAATATTCAAAATATTGAAAACATTACAGTCAAGAAGACACTGAAGAATTTTGCAGAGACTGATCAAACAACGGGAAATAGAGTTTAGTTGTTGCGATATTTCGACTGGCCAATACCAGTCTTCATCAGGTTTATTGAGATGTTTATTGATATATTTATTGTGATTTCTGTAAATTCGTGATATCTTCTTCTTAGGTTTACGAGAGTTCAGTTCAGTTGCATGAGATTCATGTTGGTTGGATTGTCTAAGAATTATTCTATCGCCCGGCCCCACTGATTTTAAGGGGTTTTACGTACTAAGAGGGAAAAATGTTAGCAGGAGCCGAAGATGTTAGAGAGAATCGAACTCTATGAAATTTGAATTGTAACTCATTTGAATGCGGAGCAGTCTGTGAACAATTAATTACGGGATTCGGCCAGTTTATTCACAAACGAATCATAATCAATCTTTCATTTGCCTGCATAATTTTATTTTATGACATTATTGCTTACTACATTATTTCTAGTTTTATTAATCTATAAAACAGCTCTGTTCTGTCTCAAGGGATTACTTTAATCAGTTTAATTCTTATGATGACTTCTTTCAAGTTCGGGGTATTTATAACTGGAATGCAGGCTGTTTTGTCGCCAAAAGGATTAGAGATGAGCTCCAAACCACCACTGGGTAGTGGACTGGGTATCCTTTGTGCAGCGAAACTTCGGGTTGCTACTGGCATACCAACCAAAATTATCTTCACTTGACACAGCACCAATCCTTGCCGCTTTAAATTGACAGTTAGTGTTGAGTGAACTGTCAGTATGCAGGCCTTCATGAAGCCACTGCCAGAAAGGCACCGTCAGATTCTTGCCCACGTATCCCCGGATGTTGATGTATTCCACTTTCTTGCACTGGCCTCCCCCAATATAGTCGAAGACGTTGAAGTCCTTGAAATTTCCAAGGAGGTAGTCTCTGAAATCGATGCCGTGGGTCGGATAGCTGCATGTTGCTCGCCAGTGGGTGGAGTGAGCCTGCACTGATCTCATTCGCGCCAAACTCAATCGGTACTGATTCCAGTTTTGGGCGTTCTCATTCACTGGAGCGTTTATCTTGAAGGGAGTGCTGCGGAATTTTGAAAGACCTGGATTACGAGAGCTCCATGACATCACCAGGGTCCATGCGGTGCCTGGCTCAGACTTAAGGTCACAGTAAACTGCGTAACTGTTTCCATTGGAATCGTAAAGCTTGTAGATGCCATTTTTAGAGCTTCCTCGGCGTAGATAATCAACGCAAGTGGTGGGCCGGAATTTAGCTGGCTTTTCGTTACTTTCCTAAAAAAAAATAAACAAATAAAAAGATACATAAAGAAAAAGCTTAAAAGCAAAAAATTTAACTTAGAAGAATGAGGCAGGGGTGCGATAACTTTGTTAGGAATCCTTTTGGGAAACTGATCATGACCTCGTCATTGTTCACGTATGTAAAAAAATTAATGTAAAAGATGATAAAAGAATTCAGTAACATTACCATACCTTGCAATTCATTGTAATATGTATGTTGACAACGTTTTTACCACCTTTCTGCAGTCCAGAATTAACACTGGCGGCTACTAGTGTCTGAAAGAATAGAACACTGAGAGTCTGTCAGTCGTTCAAGGGCATATAAGAGTTTCATATACTTTTTTATATTTTGGTTACTGATACTTAAGCAGAAATTAATATTCTCACGCATTTAACGATGATATTATTTGAGAATGTCGCTTCTAATTTCAGTCTATTCTTGTGTCCATCCTTTTCTGATACGACTGCAGGATAGCCGTTACATGTGATATTCTCGTAGACTTGATGATTTTCCTAGCACGTGCGAAAACTAAATGTTTTACAACTCTTAGTGACCTGACAAGGCTGGCGCCTTTTTCCCTCATTCTCAAGTTATACAATTTTTCTTCTCGCGGATTACTTACTCCGAGCAAATGCATACCAATGCTAAAAATCAAGACGCTCTTAAATGCCATCGCGGTTTCTCCACCTGAAATCCGCTTTAACGTGTGGTGTTAGAAATGTTAACCGAACTCAATGCTTACAAGCCGATGATGAATTGAAAAAGCAACTAAAGCATTTGTTGCTAATATGCAACTAGTAACAAAGTGATGTGAATAAATATAAAACATGAAAACCCTTCCCCATAACTCGTTAGCTACGGAAGATTGAGCTTTAAGGGCTGCTATTGTAGCCGGAGGAAGCCGGAGGGCTTTACTCGCTTCACAGTCATGAGATGTTATGGGTTATTCCTTTAGGAGCCAAATTGCTTTTATCTGCCCGGTAATGTTTTTAAAAGACCTTTTGGCCAAAGCAAAGATTAAAAAAGTTGAGGATCGTTTGATACTGTATCAGGTTTATAAATTAACTGAAAAAAAGGTAGATAACTATGTGTTCATTTTTTTTACTCAATAATACAACTTGTATCAACAATTATGTAAATTCGCCTTAATTTAAGTTAGTAAAGTTGGTAGCAAGTTGACAAGTTGATAGCCTTCTGAGTTTTTAATTAATTGGTTTAAATAATAGTTTTAATGTTTTAATAGTTATTGTAAATATTGTAAAGCGCTGTTGAATTCCTAGAAACAGCGCTATATAAGCTTGTATTATTATTATCGTTGCTAGTACTAGTAATAGTTGACACTACAGCTGCCCCCGCTCTGTATATTGTCGGTCAATAGCATTCTTGCTCGTTTTGTAGCTCTTTGAAATATACTGATTCATAAGGAAGATTTTCACACATATTCCATACAATAGGTGAGATAAATACAGGAAACGCAAAGTTCCATGCACAGTTTCAGGTCGATTTACACAGCTTTGATCAAAACATTCTCAGTTTCGAGAATAGTTTATTCTAAAACATAGGAAAAGATTTAATTAGAAGTTGAATTTTTCGTTATTTCTCTTTCACCTTTTACATTCAGTTCATTTTATTTGCCAAAGGAAGCCTTAGAAATTAAAAGGACGTTTGATCAATTCACACTCGCACATTCTAGTCTTATTTTAAACTTTATAGCGAAAGGACATCTGTGAGCAGGGAATAAGTCAGCACAGAATTTGATTGTCAGCGAATTTCTGTAATCGTCCATCGTTCTGCTAGTGAGAAGCTAGCAGTTGTTCACTCGTGTTGCTTGTTTGGGGCTGAGTCTTATTCCGGTCAAAGAGAGAGAAAGAGTGTCTGGCACAAAGACCGCGAGCAGTCTCTCTTTCTCTTCAGATTTAGTGAGAGCAATTCACGCGCGCGGGAGCGGCGAAGCCGCGAGACGCGCGAAACGAGGGCGCCATCAGTCACGCACGTGGCCATTTGCGTGTCTCGCGTTTTGCTCGACGGACTACACGGAAAAAAGAGAGTCTGCTCGTAGTCTTGTCTGGCAAGGTTTCCAATGAAAGATTTGTGAACTCGTGTCTGGCAAACTCTCCAAGTGTTTATATATACACAATTATGCGCACCTTATAACTTCTTCTGCGCTTAACAAGTGTCGTTAAATTTTTGGTCCATAACTTTCACTGAAACAACTGCTCCACAGAATGTCACTGATAACACGTAACGCAAAAGAGTGTCGAAGTATGACTGCACAATAAATGTCACAAAATCTACCTAAGCGGTACCCTGGGTGCCAGAGACTTTTCTAGCGCGGTTTGTGTCGGCCTTCGGCCAACACCGAAAATTCCCACCGCACGCGAGAAAAACCTCTGGTACCCAGGGTACCTAAGCGGTCCCTTGGGGATGTTCCGTCTTTACGTCATCCTAACCATTTCGTACTTGCGGGCGCAAACAATAGAAACGTCATTATTACCTACCGATTCCTCGCGGCCCCTGTTCAAGCAAATCGAGATTTTTTCTGTATTGACTGTATGACTGTATATTTCAACTGTAAGTACTTTCCTTAATATACGCGCGAGTTACTAAAGTGCCTCCTCGGGATTTCGCCTTCTAGGCGAAATCCCTACGGGGCCATTATTATCATTATCATTATTATTATTATTATTATTATTATTATTATTATTATTATTATTATTATTATTATTATTATTACTATTAATTATTAATTTCGTGATGCTGTGAGGCTTCGATATGATTGGCGGATACCGGATAATCCGTCAGTATGCGTTTGTGGGAGCATGTTTACAGTAGATCACGATGATCGTGGAGGCTTAGTTATTCAGCGCCACAATGAAATACGCGATCTACAGGCCAAGCTGCTTGACATGGTTTGTTACGATGTGCAAGTTGAACCCGAATTACAACCTATTACAGGCGAACAGCTTGCCAGAGGGACTAACCAAGCCCCTGATGCACGCCTTGACGTCCACTGTAGGGGTTTCTGGGAGCGACAGAGGGCTGCATTTTTCGATTTAAGGGTGTGTCATCCCAATGCGGACTGGTATAGAGATCTTAGCCCCAAGCAAATCTACAGGATTCATCAAAATGAAAAGAAGCGAAAATACAACTCTCGCGTCACAGAAATAGAGCAAGGCACATTCACCCCACTGGTATTATTTATATAAAATACCCGCCAAAATAATAACTTGAAATTTGGCATTTATTTTTGAAGGTGTATTGACGCTAGTCAAATTCCTTTTTAATTGGATACCGTTAAATTAATTGTGGGGCAAATGGCTTTGCAAGGAAATATTTATGCATTTGTTGTTGATCAACAACGTCAAAATATATCAACGCAAAAATCGATACTCTAAAAATCTTCCGACTATCTATTACCTCATTACTTACGTACATTATTCAGCAGTAATTTCAAATATCCTGTACTTCTTGATTTGTAAATTTAGAGTTGTTTTGATACTGCTTTAGTCTGTTGCTACTTTTAAATAACAGCTAATAGAAATGTTGATTTTTCAACCTTTTCCTTTTTTAACTCTTATATGTTGCAGTTAGTATTCTGGGTAATGTATGCTAATGCTGCTAATGAATTTGCCATTAAAGGAAAAGCAAAAAATAACTGAAATAAAAAATTACCTGCAAATTATATCTTCACCCCTTCACCCTGTTCGATTAATTCACTATTGTTATCGAGTGACTTTTTCTGTAACTTTTTACCACGAAAATAGTATTATTATTTGAAAAGTGATAACGATGGCAATAAATGATATACCCTAACCGGGAGAAAATGTGCCTTGCTGAAAGGTAATTAAACAGTTCTCATCTTTCATTAATATTGAAAAGTAAATTTTGCGTTGCTGAAGGTAATCAAGTAGTTCTCAAACTTTCATTAATATGCGAAAAGAAAATTAGTTTGCGTTGCTGAAAGATGATCAAGCAGTGTTTAAACCCCCATTGATACTGTATTTCATCAGTGTTCTAAAATACCATTTTAGTAATATTCGGTTCTTTAATATTTATTAACTTGGCCAAATAGCACTAGCCTGCGCGTAGACACTTTTAAACCAGGCTTTAAACCTCGTTTATAGCCAGACGGACTATATCCACACTGTATGCGATACTTGGGCCAGCTGTACCGTGGGCTATTTAAAATAGCACCAGCCAAGTGTCTACAACAAGTCAACTCTGACAACACTGGTCGCTTTCCTATATGCTGGCTAAGTAAACATAATTACTCGACCAAACCACAAAACATTTCAAGAGAATTATGTATAAGTCAATTTCGCATCAGCTCGTCCAAGGAGAAGGGGTGAGCATCGGCTTCCGTGACGCTATTCGCTAAAGCAAGCTCTTATTGCCCATATCAGAAATTTTCTGTACTAGTTTGCCAACAGTCAGTGTAAACATCGTCTTTCTTCTCGGCTTTCTAGCTATTCCCCTCAACTTTTAGTGTAGTCCCGACAATGTTTGGAAGTACACTGTTTGAAGTATTCGGAAGCGCGTTGTCTCAAGAATTAGGTGTAGTCTGGGTGAGCAGTTAGTCGACACCAACGAGGAATTGAGAAATTCGGAGTCCTTTTGTTACAGTCGCTTCGAGAGCACTGACTGGTTTGGAGTGGGATGGCTGACCTGTTGATGAAGTTAATCCCTCCCCGTATACAGCTTTAAACCCCGACGCCCGCCCGATAGGTACATATGAAACCAAGACGGCCGTCCGTACCGGCAGGCGCTCGATCCTGGCGATCATTACGAAAAAATAGGGGCCTGTGAACAGTCTAGATTATTGCAAACTGCCATTTATCCATATGCAGCAGAAAAATAAAAATTAAGTTCTTGCCTCTTGATCGAGTCCAACTGTATGGATAAGTTTTATCAGGACCTGGTCAGTAGACATGTTAATCTAGATAACGCCGACATGGGTCTCTTCACTTGGTTTTCATTCTCTTTTTCTTTTAAGCGGCAGTCAATGGCTGGCTGCCCCTTCAATGTCAATTTCCTTCTAAAACAAGAAACTCTACCCTCACTACCATCCCCTCTTGCATGGTCAATGAACTGCATGGCGGCATAAATATGCATGCAGCGGGTACTTCCTGACAGACAGAATTTGTTCATTGCCGTGTGTCCTGATCTTTTTACTGATATCCACAGCCTGGGAATTGATCACCGAGCGAGAATTAACGCAAAAGTTGTGTTTTATTCTGTGTTTTGATGTTCTTTACCAAAACGCTGCCCATTTTAAAATCATCTGCTACGTTTTTGCGATAAAACTTCTTATTTCCAAACAAGCTTTCACTGCCGCTCTTCTATTGCGGCATTTTTTTACTGATTTCATTCTTGTGAGTCACTACTGGATTCTTCCGTTTTAATCATCTTTTTATCAGTGCTTGTTACAAATCAAGTTTAAGGGGGTAAATTTCCATTTTGGAGCCAGCAGATGTAAAGCTGTTGCATCTCCGAAAATTTTAGATATGTGCTCCAAACCACCACTGGGTGGTGGATTGGGTACCCTGTGTGCAGAGAAACTTGCGGGTTCATAGCTGTAACAAATGTCAATAACTCACTATCTTAATATAAACGTTGTCCCATCACTAACCGTTAAGGGACAGACCTTGGAAAGAGTCAGGACTTTCAAACTGTAAGGTACCAGGCTCAACGAATACCTTAAATGGACTGCCCAGTAGTTTCATCATGTCACAAAGTTCTTTCAATTCTACGTGCCCTGCCCCCACCACACAAACATCTGTGAACTTCCGCAATTTTGCGGAGCTTTATCTTTCCGCCCGTGTTGTCGGATTTTTCGCCAACTGGTCCCAGTCAAAAGGTGCCACGAACATTAAACATATAAACGATGGACCAAAATGTAAACAAGGGCATGAATAAATTTCAGTCTTCTCAAACAACGGCATTTTAACTTGATAAAACCAAGAGAGAATGAGCGTCTATCAAGTATAAACGAAACATCACCCAATTTACTTTCCTACTTAATTTCCTTGACTCTCTCCCACCAGTTCGCTAACGAAGCGCTCGCGCTTTGCATGTCAACTTTTAATAAATTAATCCCAAATAAATGGTATCCCTTACCTGCGGTATGTTGTCGTAAAATATGATTTTCAAGCATTTTGCATTTACCATTTACTCTGGGCTGCCTCTTAAACTAAGTATTTTTTTTTCGTATCTCGAGATTGAAAAATGGAGCCCTCTGTTTTGTGCAATGAAATCTGTTCGACTTTCGTTCGGTTTAACCTACAAATTGCAAATGCGGCTACAGAAAGATTGAGTGTACCCCTATGCATGGCCAAGCCTCAGTTTTGCCTATTTCTGTCTATAGAAACCGGGCCTTGTTAAATTTATTGTTCATTTTCCTTTCTACTGTACAATTTCTATACAAAAATTGGACCCTTGTTTGGTCCTCACCCTTCAAAAACTACTAGTAGTGCCATACGCATGCCGTTTTGTTACAAAGAGAAAATAGGGGCTGTGGTTGCCGAGGGGGTGGGGGGGAGCCCCCACTGAGGACTCCAGAACCCCTAGAGCTCTTCCCTGAGTGCGCCCCTGTTATTGTTGATCGCTGTTTATTTAGATGAAAGCGTGTACTTTCGGGCTCCTAAAAAGTTATATGGATGAAGGGGTCAGTATTCTTCTGCTTCAAACTGTTTCTACCATCAATCCTACAGCGTAAGGATTATGTTTGTTGCATTGTTTCATCAACAACTTTTGGAGATCTAACTGTTAGTAAGAGAGGATTGTAGGAATCGAACTTGAAATTTATTTCAGTGAGGGACAGTCTGTGAGCTATTACTTACGTTAACGTATTACGTTTTGGATAGTTTTAAATATAATGCACCAGTAAATTCACAAACGATGGGTGATAATCAATCTTTTATTTTTAAGCTGCCTGCATTATTACACTACTTTTTGTTTTTTCAATCTACGAAACAGCCTCTCTTCTGTTACAAATTGAACGGTATTCAAGTTACTCTAATGCTTATAATGATCTCTCATAAAGGCTATAGTCAGGAATGCAGGCTTTGCGTCTGCGAGCAGATCAAAGATGAGCTCCGAACCACCACTGGGTAGTGGATTGGCCTCCCTGTGTGCAGCGGAATTTGGTGCTGATGCCGTCCCCGTACCAGCCAAAGTTGTCTTCACTTGAGACTGCGCCAGACCTTGCCGCCTTAAATTGAGAGTGAGTGTGAGAGCTGTCAATATGCAGAGTCCATCTATTTAGAGTCTGCCAGAAAGGTGCCGTCAAATGCGTCCCCACGTGTCCGCGGATGTTGATGAAATCCACTTTCTTGCACGTGCCTCCTCCAACATAATCAAAGATGTTGAAGTCCTGGAAGTTTCCGCGGAGGTAGTCTCTAAAATCGATGCCGTGAGTCGGGTAGCTGCATGTTGCTCGCCAGTGGGTGGAGTGAGCCTGCAGGGATCTCATTCGCGCCAGACTTAAGCGGTAAATATTCCAGTTGTGGGCGTTCTCGTTCACTGGGGAGTTATACTTGAAGGGAATGGTGAAAAATGCTGGGAGCCTTCGATTAGAGGTACTCCATGATATCACCAGAGTCCATGCAGTGCCTGGCTCGGACTTCAGGTCACAGTAAGCTGGGTAACTCTTTCCAGTCTTATCATAAAGTGTGTAGATACCATCCTTGGAACTTCCTCGCCGCAGATAATCAATGCAGGCAGCAGGCCGAAAATTAGCTTGCTCAACTTCACCTTCCTAGAAGACAAACAAGGCAAAGAAATTTAGGCCATCTCTGCTGAAAATTACTACTTGGTATAGCGCTCAAGCAGGAATGATTGAAAGAGAACAAAACGCAATAAAAAATTCACCTTGCAGCCCATTGTAATATGTATATTGACTTCTTTTTTGCCATCTTTCTGTAGTCCAGTATGCAAACTCAAAGCTGCAGGCGTCTAAAAAAATAGAAAAACCGTTTGTTAGTCAACGCAAATAAAGGAGTGTCTAAAAGACTAAACAGAGTGTCATAATACATGATTAATTCAGTATCGCCGAAATAAAAATAATTTTAAAAGTGGACTACAAGCTCAATAACGTATAAATATTACATCTTTCTCAGTTTTAGTTCTAGTGTTCACCTGTCTGAAATTAAATCACTACACGTTACTTTATCGCGGACCTAATAATTTGCCAAAATTTAAAGTAAGAGTGCGCGCAAAAATAAACGGCGTTCTCCATTCAAAATCATATATAGCTAGCTCATCATGTAACTGGGCCGACATTCTTTATAGCTGTCGCGTAACTTAACGCCGTAAAAATGTTTCGTGGGGAGTGCACTTTGATCACTTACTTCCGCAAGTAAATAGATGCCAATACTGAAAGCAACGATAATCTTAAATGCCATCGCTGTTTTCCTTCCTGAAACCAGCTTTAACCGGTGTGGACAGAATTCCGATCCTGCTCTGAACTGAACTCAGAAACTGATTTTTCGCTAGCCGATAGTGTACTGAACGTAAGCCGGGTGATCAAGCAAACGAAATGTGTCTTACAAGTACTTCAGCTACATACGTGTAGATATGAAGCGTGAATAAATAAAAACATGAAAACATCTTTCCCATAACAAGTAAGTTACGGTAGATTGAACAGAATAAAAGAGTTCTCTATCAGCTATTGAAAAATCGATGCTGGGGGCAAATAAACTTTAGACGCAATTAAAATGATAAAACTAAGATATTCAGAGATATATACAGACGGATGCCACTTTGATGTCTTTGATCACTTACTCCAAGCATTGAAATGAATGGCAAGAATATCAAGATGCTCTTAAATGACATCGGGGTATACTTCTCTGGAATCCGCTTTAAACCGAAAGTCTGCTAAACAAGCAGGGGCACCCAACGAGAATATAGTTCAAAACCAATTAAACATACCATTGTTAAACGTATTTTAGTATTTAAACGGTAGATATAGGCATATTTTCATCCCCTAAAATTTTTTCATCTGTTCGGATTCCTAGCTGAAAGTCTAGTGATCCGAAAATTACAGGGATCAAAACTTACCTTTTCGAAAATTTCAGCCAGAGTAAAGGCTCCCGAAAATTCTAGGAGACCTTTTTAGGGTAAAAATCCGTTAAAAATGGCAATTATACCATTTTTTAGATGTTCGAAAATCCTAGGAGAGGCGGGCAAGCAAGAAATTTTACAACAAATGTTCCGAAAGTTCTAGATCTCAAATCGTCTTCCGAACAGATATTTTCCGAAAAATTGACGTTGGGTGCCCCTGAACAAGCAACCAGAATGTGTTTTAAAAATAATTCAGCTACCTGAAAATGAGTGGCGTGAATAAATCTAAAACATGAAAGCATATTCCCATAACATGCAAGTGAGGGAAGTCGATCGAACCGAACAAAGGGCAGTCAGCTGTAGGGCTTCTTCTTTGATTAGGACGGAGTCATATTTGTGATTCGTATTCGCGAGTGTAGAGGCCTGAAGGCCCTTTTCTTTGGCAGAAGTTGTTGAAAGACCTCATGGGCATGGCAGGGACAGACAAAAAATGTGAAAGATTTAGCTAGAAAGGCTCATGAATTACCGGTACCAAAGAGATAGAAAGGTAGATAATTTAGCAATTAATGAAAGAGGCTGAGTAGGATATTATGTCTTAATTGTTCTGCCTTGATGTGAGTGTGAAAAAGTGGCCGTAATCTGGCCACAGTAATATGTATATATACATATATATCTAGCCGGGTTTTTTAAAACGGTACAGCCCAATGGATTAAAAAATAATCATCTTACATCCTGCAGTAACAACATTTGGACCTTGTTTGCTATTTCCGTTAGCGTCGCCAACGGCAATGCAAAGTTCTGTCAAACAAATCATGATCACTTGGATAATAACATTCAATAAAGTGTATAAAATCACTCCGGATTATAACTTTTCAAAATTCTGCTTTTTTAAAAACATTTCTTTTTCTTCTTTTTTTCAAAAATAGGGTTCATTGGAAGATAATCACAAGTCGTGAATAGTTATGCGCTGTGAGAGAAATATCTTACAAGTAAAATGATGCCAATAAAAGCCAGGATTTTCTGCAATGCCATCTTCGTCGGTCCCCATGTTTTTAAAAAAGCGCTGTCCAAGTTTGACAAAATTTGAAGCCTCTGTCTTGATAAGTAATAACCGATATGTAATCGCTAAATTCGCGAAAGGAAATGAGTGAATAAATCTTAAACAAGAAAACTCGTTTTACATAACACGTTTAGTGGAGACAAAAAAGGGTACAATTTTGACTGAAAGTACTTTCAGTTGTCAAGTTTGTCAAAATTTCTGACATTTTCATTCAGGGGTTAACTGTAGACTGTAGACTGTAGACATGGTGTTTGTTAACTATGCCTGATTATTTTTACAGTAGGTTGCTTTTTTAATCTTTTGAGTTGTATAAGTAAAACAACAATGATTACAGACTGACTTAATAGTAGCATGCAGTTTGTGGATAATCCTGCATGTAAAAATTTGTGTCATTTCCCTCTGTTCGTTGTTTGAGTAGTTTGTCAGTATCGTTTGATAAAGTTCTGCTATTTTTAAATATTTCAATGTCGGATTTCATCCAATAGTTTAAGTTGCGAGCGAAAGAAACAAGGTTACATTTTGATTTTTAATACCTAATTCCTAATCTTTTGAACTTCGCTGTCAAGAGTCTTGCAGTAGCTTGCAATCATATCGATTGTTTGTTTTGCCTCATGTACAGATTTGAAGACAACATCCGGGCTTCAAATCCTTGATAATCAGGATTAAAATCGATTTTTTTTCTCTGTCTGTAAAGTTCTTCTTTGGGATTGTAGAAGACATTTTATAAACTGGAGCGCAGAATAATCTTTTCGCTCTAATTAACACAGAGAGGATTTCCCCAGACTTGTTATACAGGCCATTTACTTAAAACGGATCATGACAATACTAAAATTAAAGCCAACATGCTCTAAAATTCTTTCTCTGACGTTTTTTCCCAATTCAAATATGTATCAGGAGCCCAT